TTTTGTGGAGCAGAAACCACTTGTGCAAGAAGTTGTCAAGGCTGCTGGTCACTTGTGCATCTTCTTGCCAAAATACCACTGCGAGCTCAACTTTATCGAATTTTTTTGGGAGGCAGTAGAGAGGTATCTGCATGAGAACTGTGATTACACCTTCAAAACACTCAAGACCAACTTGCTGAAGGCTATGGCTTCTGTACATCTCAGTACAATCTGGTTATGGGAGCATCAGATGCACAGGTGGATGGATGCTTACTGGTCAGGTCTACAGATGAAAAAGCGCAGTTGCAGGTCAAGGAGTTCAGCTTGAGGAAGTACAAATCTCATAGATGTGTTCCAGAGACTTGTCATTTACCAGATCTGAGCACCTCCAATACCACCCATGAACATCCCTACTGCTGATCCGACCCCCTGTTTCCCCATCTGCTCCATCCCTCCTTCTCCAACAATGCACAAAGTGCACCTCAGCAGGACTAGCCGTGCTTACCTCCGCCCGACTCCGCTCCACTCCTCCAACACTACCCCTATTTCCTCCAACACCATATCCCTACCATCCGACCCTATCTGGAGCTCCGCTCCTCTGCCCTATTGGTCCGACCGATCCTACTCCTACTTCCCTCCACCATCTCCGCTTTTCTGACCCACTCAGTCCCTCCAGCTCCTCTCGTATCAGTCCACCCAACTATTAGTCCGTCCCACTGCCTCACCAGTCCACTACTAGACTAGGAAACACTCAACTGGTCCTATCTCCATTTAGTATCATAGCTCCTCCTTTCGGATCATGGGTAATCCTTATACCCGAGTGATTATTGATCCATCGCATACATACTGTTCTCTGAGCCCCTTTTCTCATACATCTCAGTCATCTTCTAATAATTCTGTACACTCAGCACATAGCCCTCCGCTATGCTATGCTACTTACTTAGAGTATATAAACATATGTACATTTGTCTGTAGATCTTTAGTCTGAATATTACCTTTTCTAAGCCCTGCTCTCTTATCCCTGTTCTTGGGCAAAACCCTTGACAACTCCTGTTTGCCAGTCTAGGGGATTAACTCCCTAGGTCGGCCGCCTTCTCCACTCGTCCAACTTCCTGCACCTCTGCTGCCTTTCCCACGTGTCGGACTTATGGCTAATACTCTTGTACCTCTGTCCTCTGTGTTTCCATTCTGCTTGGACTTTGTCCGAGCAGTCTCCTCCACTCCATTCCTACTGTTAGCTCCGACTGCAGTAGCCCTTCCGACTCTCCCCTGTATGGAAGACCAATCTCCGCCCGACATTCCCATGCTCATCCAGTAGTCCGTCCACCCGCTTTTGGAGGACCTCCGCTCCAACATCCTGTTGGAGCTCATAGAAACTCAGGTTGGACTACAACCTGAAATTAGGGGCACATACTCGGGTAAGGGGCACAGCGCATGGGCTGAAGCCAAGCCCCTCAGACTCTGTCTTACCCCTGAGCACAGTCTTAACAGACTGTAGCATGTCTTTTCGACTAGTTTTATCAGTATCTTAGCCTCACCACCAATTTGGGTCCTGTCCAAATATTTATCTTCCTCAAATTTAATGCTATGCAAATTGCTCTTGACAATATGTTCCTATCATTAATCTAAGCATTTTTACAAGACAGAAAGTTCCTGGGACTTGTTCTCACAATGACAGAAAATTTGCACAAATGTAGCAGCACATAAGTGAACTGCACCATAGTTGGCCCACCGCTAGAAGCCTTTACCAAGTCCCAACCCTCAAAGTGGTCCAATTGTCCTATCATCAGACTACATTGGTCCCACTCCAAATTCAGGGCACATACTTGGCTAAGGGCACAGCACAAGAGCTGAAGCCAAGCCCCAACCCTTCCACTTCTCCATCTGAGCACAGTACCTAACAGGCTGGCAGGGAATATCACAGTATAGTCATAACAACAGCACATTATAATGTGGATAGTAGGTACATATAACAATGGTATACTACTTCACCAGTCCACATCAGCATGATGGTGTACTGACATCAACATCACAACGGCATCACCTGGGATCCAAAATAATTCATCAGCATCAGCCTAATCAAGGAATACATGAATTTTGAAGTTTTGGTGATGTTGTACTCTGCTATGCTGTGTCGCATAGCCAAGGATTCCTATAGTATATAAACCCCATGTACTCCAGTAGTGTTTCTACAATATGATTATAGACTTGGGCCTATCCTAACCACCTCCGACTTGACTTGACTTGAGCCTTGCTCACTGTCTACTCCGACCTTGAGACTAGTTTCACCATTCTCCACCTGTGTCTTTGTATTACTTTCTACGTTGAACTTAGTCCCTTGTAGCCTTACCTCTGTTGGAGCATGTTGGACGTAGTCCCTCATAACCATACCTCTGTTGGAGCACATTGGAGTTTACCTTTGGCAAACCCCCTGTTTGTCCTTCGAAGTTAAGGGCACTGTACTCACATCAGGAAGTGCAGCTGTCATATACCAGGATCCAGGTACCTCCAATACCACCTGTGAACATCCCCACCCCTGGTCCGACCCCCTGTTTTCCCGTCCACCCCATCCCTCCTTCCCCGACAACGCACTGAAGTGCATCTCAGCAGGACTAGCCCTGCTACCTCCGCCCGACCCTGTTCCGCTTCTCCAACACTACCCCTATGTCCTCTGACACTATACCCTTTCCATCCGACCCTATCTGGGGTTCCGCTCCTCCGCCCTATCAGTTCGCCCGATCCTACTCCCTCCGCTTTCCGACTCGCTCGGTTCCTTCAGTTCTACTCATGTTGCCCCACCCAACGATTAGTCCGCCCAACTGCCTCACTGGTCCACTCCTAGACTAGGAACCACTCAACTGGTCCTATCTCCGTTTAGTATCATAGTTCCGCTTTTCGGATCACCGGTAATCCCTATACCCTAGCGATTCTGATCTGTTGCATACATACTGTTCCCCAAGCCTTATTCTTGTATGTCTCAGTCATCCTATTGTAATCCTGTATACTCAGCACATAGCCTTCTGCTATGCTATACTCATCACTTAGAGTATATAAACATATGTACATTTGTCTGTAGATACTCAGTCTGAATATTACCTTTTCTAAGCCCTGCTCTTCTGTTCTTTGACTTAGGCCTGATCCTAGTCAACTCCTGTTAGCTGGCCTAGGGGATTGACTCCCTAGGTCGGCCACCCTCTGATCCTCCAATCCTCAGATCCTCCACTCCTCCATTCCTCCATTCCCCCGTACCCCCATTCCTCTGCTCGTCCGACTTCCTGTGAGTCGGAAGTAAATGCTGCACTCTCGCATCCGTCCCCTCCATTCTGCTCTGCTTTGGACTTCGTCCAAGTAGTCCCCTCCGTTCTGCTTCTACTGTTGGAAGCAGAGTGGAATGGAGGGGACGTATGCAAGAGTGCGGGGTTTAGTTCTGATGCATGGGAAGTCGGATGAGCAGAGGAACAGGGGAACGGGGGAACAGGGGAATGGGGGAATGGGGAAACGGAGGAGCAGAGGAGCAGAGGAGCAGAGGAGCAGAGGAGCAGAGGAGCAGAGGAGCAGAGGAGCAGAGGAGCAGAGGAGCAGAGGAGCAGAGGAGCAGAGGAGCAGAGGAGCAGAGGAGCAGAGGAGCAGAGGAGCAGAGGAGCAGAGGAGCAGAGGAGCAGAGGATTGGAGGGTTGAAGGATTGGAGGGTTGGAGGATTGGAGGATTGGAGGGTGGCCGACCTAGGGAGTCAATCCCCTAGGCCAGCTAACAGGAGTTGACTAGGATCAGGCCTAAGTCAAAGAACAGAAGAGCAGGGCTTAGAACAGGTAATATTCAGACTGAGTATCTACAGACAAATGTACATATGTTTATATACTCTAAGTGATGAGCATAGCATAGCAGAAGGCTATGTGCTGAGTGTACAGGATTACAATAGGATGACTGAGACATACAAGAATAAGGCTCGGGGTATCACAATGGTTGTCTAGTTCATTTCTTCCCTTGCGGGGCACACAAGTGCAAACTCCCTTCTGGAGGTGTCCACTGCTTCCAGGACTCCAAGGATAAGTCATCGACTACGAATCTAAGGCACCACACCAATAGCTGCTGGGGAAAAGAGGCAGTTGATTGCATCACTGAAAACCAGTTAACCTGGTATGACAATATTTACCTTATAAGGTTGGCGAAATCTGTGTTGCCCTTATATGCCCATGTATCAGCCTGCATCATATTCCTGATCTGCAAGCTTGTTTGTCATCTGCCTTTGTGTTTGACGAATTAATCTAAGAGTATATCAAGTTCTGAGCCAGTGTTCAAAGTCCTACATTGTGTATCTCAAACACAAATCATACTACAGAGCTTTTGCCATTTCATCTTATATTTTCCATTTCGATAAATCATTATCATCCCATGTTGAATTCTAAGCTAGTGGTCAAGTTTTTGCATCCATGCATCAAAATTACATGTTGCTGTAGGCATACACCCAACCATTCACCATGGGTATACCCAGTAGGATGACGATGGCGAAAAGCTATATTCTCTACCTACAAAAAGGTATTCCGTTAATAGTCTCGACTGAGGAAACACTACAATAAATGAGTGAGTAGCAAAGATACAGAAATGTCTGAGTGCTTTTGTCAATATTGACAGGTTGTGCATCAATTTCCTTGCCATTCATTTGGTGAGCCTTCTTGACCACATCTGCGGATGTGAAGTGTACATAGCCAAAACTGTGCGACTTTCTGGTTGCGCAATCAAAGTCGGGGTAATAAAATATGATGGAGACGGACAGGAAGAAATAGATGAGAGGGTGGTATAATTGGACTGCAAGCTGACCCAAGTGCATGAATGTGACCTTGTGGCTAGTGACTGGTGACCTTCAATGGGTCAATTAGTGAGCGGCAGGATGGACTGAGTAAGTGCAGACTGGAAAGTAGACTGGAGAGAGAATGGAATGAGCTTGACCTAGAATGAGCTGGCAAGCAGAACCCTTGCCGGAGGAGCAGGAGGAGGAAGAATGCAACTGAAGAGAATTGATCTTAAAATTTATATTCCAGCCCTTCATCTTCAGAGTCTTCATATTCCTCTGAGTCACTGTCTTCATCAATGGTTATGTAGTCATCCTTGTCTTCATCATCCCATGCGTCATTATCATCATCATCATCTTCATTATTCTTGTCATCATCATTGTCATTGCCTTGAGTTTGATTCCATCAGTCTCCAGCATTGGAGTCAAAGATTGGACCACTTGTGTCACTCATGACAATGTCCAATTCATCATCACAACTTCCTGGTCCATGTTTGCACTCAGTGTCCTTCAACAAGTTATGCTGAACTACATGGCCAACACCTATGCCTGCAAAATGAGTGAACATATCACAATCAGCAAAACTATGTATGCCAAGCCATTATCAATGAGGACATCAACAAGGTCAACTTACTCACATGTTAATGTAGAATGCGGTCCAGTCATTTACTTCTCCAAATGGTTGTGCAACAGTTGGGCCATACTAAAGAAGAGTATCCGTGCAGCCATCAGCAAAGGAGGGTATAAGATGCTGCTGGTGGACACGAGTACATCTTCTTTCCTGTTTAGCAAGTTGCTTCAAGGGATCTTGCTTATTTGTATTTTGATACAGCATTTTTATGAGATGGTGGGCAAGCTCACCCTATAAAATGCAGAATGTCAAGATGGCCAGATACTTGAACATCAACTACATACAATCTGAGTGGTATATGAATCTGTTGTTCCAAATAGCCTGATGGAGCCCATGTAATCACCAAGCACATGCAATTTGTAGGTTGAGAGATTGAAAGTCCTGGGACAAGCACCCGATGATCTTGTTCCCCCATTGGTGGACTGTAGATTAGTCTCACACCCCTCTGGTGTGCAGCAACTTCACATGGAAGTTCTACAGTTTGAAAAGCTGAGCATATAAACTGCTGAAATTTTCGAAGTTGCTTTCCTAAACCATCCAGTGCCTGATTGAGTCGAGCTAGCAAATCATCTGTGTGAAGCTGAAGCTTGGCCAAGGCATGCCATTCAGCCAGTCGAAAAAGAAGAAGACGGACAACATTGTCATGCTGTATAGGGAATGACCCTTCAAATGCAGGGATTGTGCACTGCTCAGAAGTGGGAAGTCAGAGTTTGGAAAACAGCGAAGTCCACCAGACTAACCAACCTGTAAAATGTCCTTGAAGTGCCGTGCAGCACTATACCACACATCTGACACACTGGGTGAAAAGCGCCAAATTGCACCCCTGCCAAAGGAAGGGATCAAGTGGAAGCTATGGTTCCATGTCAGAAATAAAATTGGTAGTCTTTACACAAATCAAATGTCTTTACCATTAATTCAGGACAGTTATTGTTTCAGGATTTATGGCATAAAGGAGCCTGATGAGATGCTTAAAAACAGATTTGAATATGCCCAGTTCAAACTCATGTAAAAGGTCGACAATGAGCATCAGGAAAAAAATTAAAACCAAGGGAGCCTAGCTGATCAGCAAAGGCATTCTAAAGATGCAATGTAAATAAATAGCTAACTATCAAGATGAAATGGGCTCACAAAGGTAGGCACAAGGGAGAGCTCTTTTAGAAGACGCTCTACAGCAGCACCTTTGATAGGGAGGCCTAATTTGTAGATGGCATCATGTGTGATGGTGATTTTGTCTTCAAGATATTGTTGTACTCTTGAAACTCTTGCTGACATATTGTTAAGACCGTGCTCAGGGGTAGGACGGAGTCTGAGGGGCTTGGCTTCAGCTCGTGAGCTGTGCCCCTTACCCGAGTACATGCCCCTAATTTCGGATTGTAGTCCGACTCGAGTTCTATTAACTCCAACAGTATGTTGGAGCAGAGGTCCTCCAAAGGAGGACCGACGGACTACTAGATAAGTGCGGAAATTTTGGGCAGAGATTGGTCCGCCCTACAGGGGAGAGTCGGAGGGCTACTGCAGTTGGAGCTAACAGTAGGAGCGGAGTGGAGGAGACTGCTCGGACAAAGTCTGAAGCAGAATGGGAACACAGAGGACAGATATACAAGAGTACTAGTCACAAGTCCGATGTGTGGGAAAGGTGGCAGAGGCGCAGGAAGTCGGACAAGCGGAGAAGGTGGCCGACCTAGGGAGTCAATCCCCTAGGCCAGCAAGCAGGAGTTGTCAAGGGGTTTGCCCAAGAACAGGGACAAGAGAGCAGGGCTTAGAAAAGGTAATATTCAGACTGAGTATCTACAGACAATTGTACATATGTTTATATACTCTAAGTGGGTAGCATAGCATAGCAAAAGGCTATGTGCTGAGTGTACAGAATTATTAGAAAGATGACTGAGACATACGAGAAACAGGGCTCGGACAATAGTATGTACGCGACGGATCAATAATCACTCGGGTATAGAGATTACCGGTGATCCGAAAGGAGGACTATGATACTAAAAGGAGATAGGACCAGTTGAATGGTTCCTAGTCTAGGGGTGGACCGGTCAGGCGGTCAGGCGGACCAATCGTCAGATGGAACAACACGAGAGGAACTGAAGGAACTGAGTGGATCGGAAAAGCGGAGATGGTGGAGGGAGTAGGATTGGTCGGACCAATGGAGTGGAGGAGCGGAGCTCCAGATAGGGTCGGAGGGTAGGGATATGGTGTCGGAGGAAATAGGGGTAGTGTCAGAGAAGCGGAGCAGAGTCGGGCAGAGGCAGCAGGGCTAGTCCTGCTCAGATGCACTTCGTGCATTGTTGGAGAAGGAGGGATGGAGCGGACAGGGAAACAGGGGGTCAGACCAATGGTAGGGACGTCTATGAATGGTGTTGGAAGTGGCTGAATCAGGTATATGACACATATCAGCGATGAGCCCAATGCGCCAAAAATATGATTTTGGAAGGAGACATCATGGGCATGGGCAAACACCCTTATCACGAATGGTTGCAACAAGAACTCTATTGACGGCATCTTGGTTAGTAAAAGGGAAGTCAGAAGTATATAGTTTATTTACTTTTCTGGGTAGTTGTCATATACCTGATCCAACCACTCTGACAATATTAATATCCGCTCTGCCTGACCTCATACTTTCCCTGCTTTCCTACCACCTTCGCTCCATCCACCCTCTGCTCGTCCCAGTCAGTTCCCACATCTGTTCCTACGGCTCTGCTCAGCTGCCTCGTCGGTTACCTTCTGCATTGTTTCCACTCTACTGTAAACTCCTTCCCCATTTAGGTATATACTTTCCCCATTTGCACACAACACTTACTTCCCAGATCACTGGTACTTTCTATAACCACTCGACTAACTGATCTGACACGTACATATTGATATCCGCTCCAACTTATGTTTTTCACCTGTGTCTACTTACAAATTATGCTCGGTACATAGCCTCATACCAAGGACTAGCTAGTCACTGCCTCCTACATAGAAGTATATAAAAAGATATCCTGTACTTAGCTACTCCCCAGTCTTAATATTACTTGTCTTCCCGCAGTCTCTACTAGTGGGAATTCTCTGTAGGACTTTGCTCTCTCTCCGGACACAAATTTACCTCATTGTCACCTCCAACCCTCCACTCCGACTTAGAGCCGCGCTCTAAGTATTTGCTCTTACTTCTCCAACCCAACCAAACCCAATCCCCTTACTCCCCTCCGTCCTGACACACTTCCTCTGCCTCCGCTTCTAGTTGGATTACCGCTAGTAGCACTTACCTCCCAACCCACCAAGTGGATCAAAGTGGTCTGCCTGTCCTATCGTCAGACATTGTTGGACCCACTCCAAATTTGGGGCACATACTTGGCTAAGGGCGCAGCACAAGAGCTGAAGCCAAGCCCTGACCCCTCCACTTCTTCATTCAAGCACGGTCTCTAACAGTAGTCTGCAGAATAGGTAAATATCCTAGGAAATACTCTGCGGTACATCCCATTGTAGCACTTGACAATGATACCATTTTTGTACACTTCAATAAAATTATTGTCTATCAGAATATGCCAGATAGCATGAAACAGCTCTCGCTTGCAATGAGCTAGAACATCATCATAATTCTTCTTTTTAACTAGGATAATTTGCGCAATAAACTGTTTGATCATTTCTGGTAGCTACGAAACACTGTTAGTACAACCATCTAGTAGCAGGCAGTGTTTGGGCGCACTTACAGTAGGAATGAATGCTACAGGATGACATGCACTGGAAGTAGGGCAGGTGTGCGTGTACTTGGACTGGTTTCCGAAAAATAGATAAACTGGCCATGCTGAAGCAGTCCCAAACTGCGCTAAGTGTGTTGAATCTGACCAAAACATAAGCCCAGCAATGACTCTCTCCAATGTACAACTGTCATTTCTCCGCTCCTTCTGCAAATCATTGTGTGCTTTAATCCATGCATCTGACATATAGAGCTCATCATAGAGACACTGCTCTTGACCAGTTGCAGGGGACGTCCAAAAGCGCTTGAAGGGAGTGAAATGAAACCATTTTGATGCTGCCTCGGAGAAAGCAGCACAAATGATGGCTGTGAGCGGATAGTACTGGAACCCTGGGACAGTAAATGGCTGTCCATTCCCACTCAGATTTCTCTCTAGTCGGCACCAGGATCTCTGCAGCTGTCTCTTTCCAACCGTCCCTTCGGAAGATATTGTTGCCATCAAGACTGGCTTCAGACAAATTAAAATGCCCCATTTCTGTATGGGCGTTGAAGCCATTCAGATTCTGTATGCTGAAATCTTCCACTGATAGGACTTCCTTGACTAGTCGAGTTACCTTACCTTTGGACAATTGGTTGCCTGTCATCATCCAAGTCATGAGGTGCCAGATGCTCATGTTTCACCAAGGCCAAGGAGGTGCCTTCAGGGAAGACGTTACCCCAGTATTGGATGGTTCAGGGTTCAAATCTGGATGAAAGTTGGATAGCTGGTCTGCAGAGACAAATGCATCCAGGTCGTGTGTTGGTCAATGATGGTACTCCCTTCTGATATCAAAAAGATTTAGGACGTCCATAAAGAGTCAAAAACATGGAGAATTACTTGGTGAATTGTTGGTGGAGGTGATTGTTGGACAGGGGGAGGTGGCACAGGAGGCTCATCTCTAAATCGCACAGGTAACCGGTGAGTCCGAGTGGGGTGAGTGCCTTCAGGAGTAGGAGTTGATATAAGTGGCTAAGACTGCACCTCTTGTGAGATGCTAGGTAGTCTAGGCTCCATTGATAGTTGAGGTGAGAGAGGGTGATGCTGAGGGGTTGTATCACATGATGCAAGGGGACCACTGCTGCTAGAAGATGTGGTCATAACACTGCATGAAGACCTGGCTGCAGCAAGCTAGTCTTGTCAAATGAAATTTGGGCCAGGGTAAAGCAGAAGACTCACTTGAGTAGTGCTGAGCTTTATTTTCTTTGCCATAGATTCCTCTTGCGTGACTTCTGCAGCTCATTTGAAATATAGCAACTGTAGTGTCAGCTGCCATTGCCAATGGGGGCAACTTGTCTGGTGGCGCATTAAGCCACTTGGTGCTGAAAACGACCGGCCACAGGTTGAATGGCACTTGAAGTAGTGGCTCATTAAGACGATGAGAAGAAAGAATGTAGCTAGGAGCAAAATAAAGTAAGTGAGGACTCCAGATCTGGCCCTCATGCAGGCTATTCCCCACCACTGCTGGAGAGGTAAGGGCGGCCTCTCCACCAGTGGCTGGAACATGACATTTGTAAATAAGGTCAGCCACAGTTGTAGACTCTGATACGCCAAAATGACATGTGGTGCTGTATCTCAGAACTCACCAGTTCAAGTCACACACATCAAGCACACTGTGATGCTCCCAACAGAACTTGAAAGACAGATATTCATTCTAGCCACTGACTCCATGCAAAGAGCATTCTCCTTCTTAGTGGTTGTGCAGAGGGTACATTCCTGGTAAGCAGTCACCTCCAGGTCAGAGAGATATTAAGACCCACCCTTGTTACAGGATGGAAAGGCTTCTTTATGTTAAGACTGTGCTCAGGGGTAAAGTGGAGTCTGAGGGGCTTGGCTTCAGCTCGTATGCTGCGCCCCTTACCTGAGTATGTGCCCCTAATTTCAGGATGTTGTCCAACATGAGTTCTATGAGTTCCAACAGGACATTGCAACGGGGGTCCTCTGAAGGAGGACTGATGGACTACTAGGTGAGTGCGGGAAAGTCAGACGGGGTTGTTCCGCCCAACAGGAGGGAGGCGGGAGACTACTGTAGTCGGAACCAACAGTAGAAGCGGAGTGGAAGGGACTGCTTGGACAAAGTCCGAAGCAGAGCAGAATGAAGGGGACGGGTGCAAGAGTGCGGGGTTTAGTTCCGACGCACGGGAAGTCGGACGAGTGGAGGAACGGGGGAATGGGGGAATGGGGGAACGGAGGAGTGGAGGATCAGAGGATCGGAGGATTGGAGGGTGGCTGGCCTAGGGAGTCAATCCCCTAGGCCGGCTAACAGGAGTTGACTAGGATCAGGCCCAAGTCAAAGAACAGAAGAGCAGGGCTTAGAAAAGGTAATATTCAGACTGAGTATCTACGGACAAATGTACATATGTGAATATACTCTAAGTGATGAGCATAGCATAGCAGAAGGCTATGTGCTGAGTGTACAGGATTACAATAGGATGACTGAGACATACAAGAATAAGGCTCGGGGAACAGTATGTACGCGACGGATCAGAATCACTAGGGTATAGGGATTACCGGTGATCTGAAAAGCGGAACTATGATACTAAACAGGGATAGGACCAGTTGAGTGGTTCCTAGTCTAGGAGTGGACCAGTGAGGCGATCGGACGGACTAATAGTTGGGTGGGACAAGATGAGCGGAACTGAGGGGGTCGGAAAAGCGGAGGGAGTAGGAGTAGGATTGGGCGGACCAATAGGGCAGAGGAGCGGAACCCCAGATAGGGTCGGATGGAAGGGGTATGGTGTTGGAGGACATAGGGGTAGTGTCGGAAGAGTGGAACGGGGTCGGGCAGAGGTAGCAGGGCTAATCCTACTGAGATGCACTTCGTGCATTGTCAGGGAAGGAGGAATGGAGTGGATGGGGAAAACAGGGGGTCGGACCAGCAGTAGGGATGCTTATAGGTGGTACTGGGGGTACTCAGATCCAGTATATGACACTTTATCAAAAAGTAGTTTTATCTGATGAAATAACAGCCAGCCGCTTCCTGTTGTCCATGCACCTTTAATCGCCAAACCATTCTGAAGGAGTGGTTCAATCTTTATGTGTCAAGGGTGATGTACTGCCAAGTACTGCTGCTAACATCCTTTCACTATGCAGAAGTACACAAAACCTTGCACTATGGATCACTCCATCAGATTTGGCCGGAGAACCTAACCCTCTGCTGCATCCCCTGAATGTGCTTCCACTAAAATTGCTATCACTTAGTATTTCCCATATATTTGATCACACACCACTCATATCCCTTTCCACTGGCCCAGTCTTCCATAAGCTCACTCATCTAGAAATTCTCAATGACTAGGTAATGTAGAGTTCCATGGTTGGTTTGGAGCATCTTCAGCAATTGACTCACCTTTGTTTGTGTGTTCACACAAAGAGAACTAAGCCAGTGCTGGTGATGTCATTGTTTAGGAACCTGTCCTTGTGAGTTCTTGTTTTCTGCGCGTCAGAGGACCTTAAGACAGTGCAAAGCTTCTTAGAGTGCACTGATCTTATTGACCCTTGCATTGTGCTGGTAAACTATGCTCTCATCAACCTGAATGATTTCAGAAGTGGTGATATTACATTGCTATGGCAGAATGCTGAGCAAATGATCGAGCAGAGGCGTGCTATTACAGCTGATTCCATAACTATGCAGAATCGAAAATCAAAACTTGTGCATCAGAAACGCCCGGACAAGGACCCCACAAGCACCTGGGGTAGTAGTGCTATAGTGTACATCTGCGACTTGCTGAAAGACAATGTCGTCCCAATTGGATTCCCCAGAGATGCCTGAATTCAAGGCTACATTCATTATTCACCTGGATACATACACCAAGACTACTACTGAAAGCAATGGCAAAGCAAAAGCCAAGGAAGTGAAATCTACCAAAGTCAAGGAGCTCGTCTTTCAAATCTCCGAGCACAACTACATCAAATTTTTGACTACAATTCTCGCGAAACATGACAAATCACACCATAGGGTTACTGAGAGGAAGAAATAAGAGCATAAGTGGAGATGTGTTTGCGATTGAGATGTAGCTGCTGAAATGTGCGAAGAAGTGTTTGCACGGACACAAACACACCGCGGGGAGAGTGTAATTCATGCTGTAATTCATCGAGATACATTGTAGGATGGTGACGAAGGATGGCAGTGATGAAAGCGATATCATCAATGGTGAGAATGCGATGCTGGCCTGTATTCTTGCTATGGATATGCTGTGAGGGAAAGAGCCGTAAAACTTTGTATACAAGAGTCTTTTTGACTCCAAGTAGATGGCAGATATACTTGATGGAGTACCTGCATCAACGTAGAACAGGGATTTGAGCTTTCAAATCATCTGAAACAGTGCGCGGTGGCATTGAATGACACAGTTGTTGTGATCAAGCACTGCGAATTCTCTCACTCAGGTGCTTATGGGGTCCTTGTCCGGGCGTTTCCAATGCACAAGTTTTGATTTTCGATTCCGCATAGTTATGGAATCAGCTGTAAACAAGGTAAGTCCGAGTCTCACAACCTTGCTTTACTACTGATGCGAGGCTGACAGCCTGACTTGCCAGCACCTTTTCCTGCTGATCACTCATTCACCGCGCACATTTTGACATGTTCATTCATCATCTTTGCTGCATTCCTTGTCTGCACCACTCATATTGTTGTTGTCACTCATTGTCATCACTCTGACTTGCTATTATCGTCTTGTGACTGGTTTTTTGATGTTCTCACTCATGCTCACTTTCAAATCATCATTGCCTGCACTTGCTGCTCATTTTGCCATCACTTGTTCCTGCTTGCACTGTACTCACTCTTTCTCCATTGCTTGTTCCGCTTTGCTTATTGTACTCACCTTTTGTCCATTGCTCATTCCGCTTTGCTTATTGCACTTGCCTTTTCTCCATTGCTCGTTCCACTTCGCTTATTGCACTCTATTGGCTGAACCTTATTTTACGGTACAATGTCTGTAGTTCTTACCAATTTTCAGAGATAACAGAATTTCAACACTGCATTGCCGCATATATAAGATCTGCTGCAACTTAAACATGAGAATGGTGTGCTCTGTTGAGTCAGCATGTATTGGAACACATAGCATCTGACCAACTCCTGCTCTGACTTGGCTGGGCAGTACTCATTGTCATGCGGTTGAAATAAATCGGATAAAACAATGCTGGACAGTCAGCTCCTAGATAAAATGAAGAAAGAGGGATTATTACCCTCACCTTCAGCCCAATACCCAATGTTGTCCATTATAAGCAATGTGTAAATCAAAACCCATCCATGTAGCTCCTATCCTTCAATCAAAGAGTTTCTCACTAAGCTTGAGAGGGCGGAACCAAGAAGGCAGTGGGTCAAGAAATTCCTTTGCCCAGTGACTTTGATGGGGGTCAGGACACTGGATGATATGGAAATCGTGTCAGCAGAGAGCCACACCACTTTCCACAGGCTCTGCCCATTCATGGTGATGGATTTCTTTGTCCATGTTATTAATAGCCTTGATGAAATCCATGCACAAGATTTGCTAAAGTGGAAGGCCTGTTTGATTTGTATGACTATGACACATGTATAGCGGGTTTCAAATTGCCACTCAGGTGAGAGTCTAACTAATTAAAACCTGATGGCAAACAAGCCTAAGTTATCAATATTAGTAGCTCCCACCAAGCCGTATCATATCCCAAAGAATCTAATATGGAGGAGAGCATGTATTAACTTGAGACCCAGGCATGTATACATAGGTGTAAAAATCATAGTGCATCCTTGACCCAGACTCCCTTTGAAGCATCTTTAAATGTATCATTAGTTTCTGTAGGTGTTAAGGTCATGCTCAAGGGAAAGGTAACTCAAAGGGCTTCAGCTTCAGCTCGTGCACTGCGCCCCTTACCTGAGTACGTGCCCTTAATTTCTGAGAGGCAGAGGGGAAGTCTGACGGAAGTCTGGGTAAGTCCAGAGGTCAGATGCAGGGGGAGTTTGGCGGAACTCTGGAAGGCTAGGAACGAACAGAGTAAGGCTACTATGAACAAGTCTGGAGTAGAAGCAGAACAGAGTTAGACTACCCTAAGGTAGAGCCAGAGATATAGTCCTAAGGATTAACCCTAAGACTCAGAGGTGGACAAGAGATCAGACTCAAGTCCAGAGAAGCAGGAATAAGCAGAACCAAGATGATATTTGAACTGAGGAGTACCGGAGTATTACAGGAGTTTATATACTGTAGGTATCATGTAAGTCAATCAGTCAGCAAAGTAAAGGCTATTCCCCAAGCATATGGAAAGTCTATTAGTAAGAGTATAACAGATCAAAGCAGTGAAGTCAGAAATGAAGTATGAATGGACAGATCAGTAAGCAAAGCGGAAAGACATAACCGGTAGCCAGAGAGCAGTTATTCTAAAAGGAGGTAGTTGTGAGTATGGAGATGAAGGCGGAGCGCTGGGCAAACAACAGGACAGGGAGCTGGACTTTCATAGGGGAGATCCAAAATTCCGGATCTGGAGGTACAGGATATGACAGTAGGATCAACATGTGTGAATCAACAATACAGATATTGTGATGTGTGCACTTACTACAGGTCCTGGTTTTTTTGGGGTGAACTCGACCATGTATGTTGGCCAGTGTTAAGACCATGCTCAAGGGTAAGACGGAGTCTGAGGAGCTTGGCTTCAGCTTGTACACTGCGCCCTTTACCTGAGTACATGCCCCTAATTTCAGAATGTAGTCCAACTCAAGTTCTACGAGCTCCAACAGGACGTCAGAGCGGAGGTCCTCTGAAGAGGGACTGACGGACTACTAGGTAAGCACGGGAACATCAGGTGGAGATTGGTCCGCCCTACAGGGGAGAGTCAGAGGACTACTGCAGTCAGAACTAACAGTAGGAGCGGAGCGGAGGAGACTGCTTGGACGAAGTCCGAGGCAGAATGGAAACGTGGAGGAGAGAGGTACGAGAGTTTTAGTCTGATGCACGGGAAAGGCGGTGGCGGTGTGGGAAGTTGGATGAGCGGAGGAGGCAGCCAACCTAGGGAGTCAATCCCCTAGGCCGGCAGACAGGAGTTATCAAGGGTTTTGCCCAAGAACAAGAATAAGAGAGCAGGGCTTAGAAAAGGTAATATTCAGACTAAGTGTTAGGTACCGTGCCAGGCTCAAGAAGTGGAGGGGTCAGGGCTTGGCTTCAGCTCTTGCGCTGCACCCTTAGCTGAGTACATGCCCCGAATTTGGAGCGGGTCCGATGTTGTCCAATGGTAGGATGAGTAGACCACTTTGGTCCGCTTGAGGGTCGGGAAGTAAACACTACTAGCAGCGGGCTGACTAGGAGCAGAGCGGGGAAGGTGGAGGATAGTGCAGAAGGTGGATAGGAGCAAAGGGGTTTATTGATAGAGGCGGAGGAGTAAGGGGGAAGACTTAGAGCACCGCTCTAAGTCAGGGTGGAAGGTCGGAGGTGACAACAAGATGAAAATTGTGTCTGGAGGAGGCAAGGTCCTACTGAGAATTCTCACAAGTAGAGACTGCGAGAAGACAATTAATATTAAGACTGAGGAAACTATCTAAGTACAGGATATGTCATATACTTCTAAGTGTGAGGCAGTGATTAGGAGACTTATGTTGTAAAGCTATGTACCAAGGATATAGTTTGTAAGTACTTACACAGGCGAGGACATAAGTCGGAGCAGATATCAATATGTACGTGTCGGCTCAGTGATCGAGCGGTAAGAGGAGTTACCGGTGATCCAGAAGTAAGTACTATGTGCAAATGGGGAAAGTATATACCTAAATGGGGCAAGGAGATTTACAGTAGAATGGATGGTGTGGAAGGCAACCGACGAGGTGGTTGAGCGGAGTCGTAGGAGCAGATGCAGAAGCCAACTGGGTTGTGTGGAGGGCGGACAGAGTGGAGGTGGTAGGATAATGGGGGAAGTAGGATGTTGGGCGGAGCGGATATTAATATTGGCAGAGCGGTCAGATCAGGTATATGACACTAAGGATCTACAGACAGATGTACATATGTTTATATACTCTAAGTAGCATAGCATAGCAGAATGCTATGTGCTGAGTGTACAGGATTACAAAAGAGATGACTGAGACATATGAGAAAGAGGCTCAGAAAATAGTATGTACACAACGGATCAGAAATCACTCGGGTATAGGGATTACCAGTGATCCAAAAAGAGGAACTATGATACTAAATGGAGATAGGACCAGTTGAGTGGTTCCTAGTCTAGGAGTGGACTGGTGAGGCGGTCGGGCGGACTACCCATTGGGTGGTATAACATGAGCAGAACTAAAGGAACTGAGCGGGTTGGAAAAGCAGAGGGAGTAGGAGTAGGATCGGGCGAACCGATAGGGCGGAGGAGCGGAACTCCAGATAGGGTCGGATGGAAGGGGTATAGTGTCAGAGGACATAGGGGTAGTGTCGGAGGAGTGGAACGGGGTCGGGCGGAGGTAGCAGGGCTAGTCCTGCTGAGATGCACTTCATGCATTGTCGGAGAAGGAGGAATGAAGCGGATGGGAAAACAGGGGGTCGGACCAGCAGTAGGGATGCTCACAGATGAACAACCCCCACCCGACTTTCCCACACTCACCTAGTAGTCCGTTGGTCCTCCTTCAGAGGACCCCCATTCCAACGCCCTGTTGGAACTCATAGAACTTGTGTCGGACTACATTCCGAAATAAGGGGCACATACTCGGGTAAGGTGCCCAGCATATGAGCTGAAGCCAAGCCCCTCAGACTCCGCTTTACCCCTGAGCATGGTCTTAACAGACATTGAGCTTCTCACTGTAGTCAACGGGGAGAGGTAGTGTAGTACTAGACATTAGAAATTAGAAAATGTATAAGAAAAGATATAGACACATCACAAGACAAAGCACCACTGTCACCACCTACTTGGGTGGGTCAGGCTTTGGCCTGTAGCCTCCGCCCCAATGCATCGACAATTTGATATGCAGATGCCTTAATGTTACTTAGAAGCAGAAGTACAATGAGTAAGTGATGAACTGAGACATTACCGAACGAGCAAACTAGTCCCAAGATCTTTCCAATTGTTCTATGTAGTACATGTAGTAATAGTACAGAAAAAAATGGCTGCGGTACATAAAGACATGAGGCACAAAACAACAACAGTAATGTATGAGTCATGTACATTGGTAAGCTTTGATGAGAAACATGATGGACACTTGTTCAAGTGTACTAGAATACATGTTGCTAAAACTTGAGAGCGCGCTTAGTGAATGTCCAATTAGAAATCATCTAGTAGTACTTACCAGTGACATCATGACCATCTAGCCCTCTTGGAGGCTCTGGAAGAGATCTCCACCGCTTCAGCTTTGCGTTTGATCAAATTCTTGTGCCAGGCGGAGTAATGTGTATAGCCCGTCTGCCATGCAGCATTCCACAGGTGGGCCATGAATTTCTTCCAGTCTATAGGCGACACTGGAGGCACCCACGTACGAACAAGCTGGAAGGGGTCAGGGCTGGGAGATGCAATTAGGGGTATATATCATGATTATTAAATTTAAATTTACCTGTCATCGATCTCCTCTGAGATGGTAGATGCCTCTGCAATGTTGGATTCATCATCAACGTCGGACTTATCTGTGATGTTAGAGTTGTTGGACAAGGCACTGGATTCCTCCTCTTCTTCCACCATGAGTTCTTCAATGTAGCTGATGGTGGCATCCCTGACACTCTCAAATGTGTGATGGAAAAGCCACTGCAGGTTGTCAAGGCTTGTGATGTCCATGTCAGGACACAATTGCTGTCATTGTGATCAGATACAGCTACACATAGAGGTGGAAGGAAACTCACGCCAGTTGTGAAGTATCACGAATCATGATCATAGAGATCAAATGGCCTGTCATCAGGATGGAGCCAAGTAGTAACAACCATGGTGAGGGGTGATACCCAAGTGTGGGTAAAGCCTGTGACTGGACCGAAGACCAGTGAATCGTCCTTTTGAAGCCATTTGCGGTATGAGGCGGCCTTATCCTTCTTCGACAGTTTTCAGAACACATGTGATGATTCTGCTGGTGGGGAGTAGCAGTGATTTTCTAAGATATCAAATAGTGTGACGGCCTGCATGTGTTGGTTACAGGTGACGTAACATTGGAGTTTGGTGATGGCAGCATCCTGAGTCTGCGAACACGCAACCTTGGTCCCCCAAAGCTGCAGACGCCCTCCGTCTGCATCGTGGAATTCAACCAACACATCAGGGATACCAAGGGCTTTCTCTGTAGACCCTGCCTCTCCCTCCCCCCTGAGGGTCCAGTTCATCTGGACTATGAAGCTACCAAGCACCTCATTGATACCCATTGATGCAAGAACAGCATTGATAGTGTCTCACAACAGCTTGAGAATATTCTCATGGATTGAAGTAGGCAGGGTTGCGACCAATTGGTTGGACAATGGGGAATATGATAGTCTGAAAGAAAGAGTTGTTAGTGATTATTGGATTATTGCACACAACTTACTTGTATCGATTGAATTGGTGATTGTCATCTTCAGCAATGGCCTCCATAATGAAATCCCAATCATTGATGGACACATCATAAAAGGTCTTTGGGGCGAGTCAGTGTGCAAGATTACCGTGTGAAACTGTGCCTCAAGGCCTCATACCTTGCAATCTCAGGCTGTCCTTCTCAGAGAAAAGCGACAATCTGCCCACGCAAAACTATCACAAAAGCTCAACCTAGGTGTGAATGTCCAAAGGGAAGAACTGACTATCTCTTTTGGGAATCTCGGGCTTTGGCTCTTTTACCAAGGAAGATGTTGCAAGATGAAAACCATGGAAAATTTGATCCAATGCTGCAGGATTTGAAGGCGGAATTGCAGCCAAATGGGAGGTCTGTTTGATGAGCTGAGGGGAACTTGTTCCTAGAGAGGTCCCTTTATATTGTGTTGCAGGTTTTCTTGCCTGACAGTTGTTGCTCTCTGCTCCATGTGGTAAGGGAGTAGGCATGTGTGCTTGATGTGGCACCATAGTCACCTATGCTTATATATATATGTGGTGCCTAAGAGCTCCGAGCCTTATCCATGATCACAGGGGTTGTCAAGAAGACAACAAGTGTCACAATCAGCATTTTCCACCTAGGATCCCATTGCGAGCATATGTAGATCAAATTGAATATTGAAGTGAGTAATCAAGTAAGTACATTGTATTGTATGTATTATGTTCTCAACAAAGGGCACAGGATCAAGAATTCTGATATGAACCTTTTCAAAAAAAGTCCGTGGTGTAGTTTCACTGTACAGACTCAGTAAGGTGTTTCATTTGCGATGTATCTAGTCATCTCACCAGCTTGCTCTGCTAGTCCTTACTGGCACACCTGTACAAAATAATCTGGTCAAGCTATGGGGTCTCTTGAACTGGCTATACCCAACTATATTCACCAGTCCTTCACAGTGATTGTTCCATGATTCCTTTGACCTCTAGCTGCTCATTGATGACTGTCTGCAGTTTCACCATCATTGAACATCGTGGCAGGCTATACTATTCTTGTACTGGATACAAATATTATCCTATCTTCTCTAGCAATCGCATCCATCATCGAGCTTCAAATTCTATGCTTTTCACTGCATTGCAGATCTGCTGAAGAACTGTTGTCTGTTTCTCAATGGCTTCCGCAACCTTCAGAAGGACTTCAAGGGACTGTACTGAACTCCCCATACCCTCAACTGCCCTTCCTAGCTTCCTACATTTCTGTGGCTGCACTTTGGTGGCAGGCATTGGTGCTGTGCACTGCGCATTTGTAATATCAAGTCCAAAACTCCTCTGATCCTGCACACAACTGCAGGTAAGTATTTTGAAGCAGTGGTATTGCCGATATTGAACTGGCACTCACAGAGTTTTGATTGGAGTTGAGCATCTTTCGCTTTGAATGTGACAGTGGCTCATGAATTCTTTTGCTCATGGTTCCCCCCCCCCCTGGAATCAGAATTGTTAGAACGGCCACGTTCAATCTGGAAGTCATGTACATCTTGAGGTTGCTCCAGGTCTGAGGGAGGTTTGGGTGACTTGTAACACCCACATGTGTATGCAGGTGCGCCTTGCCTGTGGCCCATGGGCCCCGGGCAAACTGCCTTATGACTTTTAGGTGTAGAGCCCCGCCAGTACACATCTATGACATATTCTTCCAGGTTATCTGCTGCTCCATCATGGTAGTCAAGGTGACAGGAGGTAACACTGTCTAGATGAGGGTCAGACAACATTTTCACACTACTATGTATCCTCAAGGGTAACAATATTTAAATACTCACAAACCTAGAACTAATGCCCTGACAGCCTTCCCACATCCCAGAGCATGTGCCCATGGCCAGTGTTGTCTTCAATTTTACAACTCAGGGCTAGGCCACTACAGTGCATGGAGCAGTGCCGGGGGAGAACAATGCTGGTGTGTGTCCCATCTAGCTCTCCATTGCTGACTTAACTTAGTCACAAATGTATTAATGGTGCATATGGCTTGCCCTAGTTCCAGGATATGGAAAACTTCAAGTTGTTTCTGAAGTATTTATCCCGCCTACCAACATGTAAATCAGCAAGATCTTATACACAGTGTGAATTAGCATTGGATCAAACTTGAATGTGCACTGATTCCTTTATATTACTCAGGCTATAATGAAATTTTCTTGTTCCTCCACTCCATGCTTTTCAAACACAAGGTCTATTTCAGATGTCGCAGACTCCCCTCTCAGACAATAACTTACCTGTCAATATTGTAGCTTCCTTGAAGAGACAAATTGATGTTCTTCAGGCACAAAATGAAGTGCTCCGCAAGGAACCTTGCAAAGAGAAAAGGTGTGTCTGACCTTCAAACACATGTCCATGCTATTGATTTAACTGCAGTAACCACTACCATCTTGAGGGTAGAGCAATTCGACGACTAGTTTGTCTGACCGGTTATATTGGACAATTAGTTGCGGAACATGATTGATGTATGGAACTTGGTGCTGTCAGCAAATCCAATGCAGACAAGTTTGAGTCTGAGGATCCTGAGTAAGTCATTTTCCATTGCCAGCAACTAAAGCTAACAGTTAACTTCTATTAGTGATAATAGACGGTACAGATCATTCAAGAAACTTCTTGTATCATGCCCATCTATACGTAAACTAACAAAGTCATCGGTTGAGGACCATGACCTGGCATTTGCATACAGCCAGGTGAGACATTGTGACAAGTAGGCATTGCTTAACTAACACTTTCTTCTAGCTGAATAAAGGAGCTGATCCAGCTAGGGCAGACAATACAATGAAACTCAAGACACTTGTCATTTCTTGGTTATCAGAGTGTACCCCACCACCAGACCCCATTCTTTACCCTTACAACAAGACTGGCCATGGTTTCTACAATGATGCAACAGGAAGGCTTCTATGTCCTGTCGATCATGACTGGAACAACTCTGAGTAAGTTTTGTTTGTTGGGTGACACCTTTGTTGACCAATTTAACAGTGTTCGACAATATGTTTGGGACTACCACCCTGATTATAGGGTGACAGCTTACTCTTGGCCGACATTCTTGTATGATGGACATTACAACACTAGGAATCCTAGAGATGGCCTATTTAAAGGGAAGTTGCTATTAAAGGTATGATTTGCTGTGCAGATGATCAGCACTTTCCTGAAATGAGCTACAGACATTTAAAGCCATATTTACATCTCCCACCTCTGCAGAGCTTGATGACCCAGAGCAGACCAGTTCTAATGAGGTTTCTGCACATGGACATTCAAAGCGTCAAAGGATCCGGACAAGTGGCAAGCTGTCATATACTGGATCCAAGCACCTCCAACACCACCTGTGAACATCCCCACCCCTGTTCCGACCCCCTGTTTTCCTGTCCGCTCCATCCCTCCTTCTCCAACAATGCACAAAGTGCATCTCAGCAGGACTAGCCCTGCTACCTCCGCCCAACTCCATTCCGCTCCTCCGACACTACCCCTATCCCTCCGACACTACCCCTATCCCTCCGACACTATACCCCTTCCATCCGACCCTATCTGGAGTTCCTGTCATATCCCGTACCTCTGGATCCGGAATTCCGGATCTACTTCATTAAAGTCCAGTCCTCCGTCCTGCTATTCCACCCGGTGCTCTGCCTTCATCTCCGCACTCACCCCTAACTCCTTTTAGATTGGCTATTGCTCTGGTTACCGGTTATGTCCTATTCCGCTATGCTTACTGATCCGTCCATTCTTACTTCATTTCCGACTTCACTGCTTTGATCCATTACACTTAGTAATAGACTTTCCGCATGCTTTGTACATAGCCCTTACCTTTGTTGACTGATTTACTTACATGATACCTACAGTATATAAACCCCTGTAATACTCCGGAACTCCTTAGTTTGAATATCATCTTAGTTCTGCTCATTCCTGCAATCTCTGGACTTGAGTCTCACCTCTTGTCCACCTCTGAGTCTTAGGGGTTAAAACCTTAGGACTAATCCTCCGGCTCTACCTTAGGGTAGTCTAACCTCTGTTCTGTTTCTACTCCGGATTTCCATAGTAGCCTTACTCTGTCCCCACATAGTCTTCCAGAGTTCTGCCGAACTCCACCGATGTTTGTCCTCCGGAACTCCCCAGACTTCCATTGGACTTCCCCTCTGCCCACCGGAAATTAAGGGCACGTACTCGGGTAAGGGGCGCAGCGCACAAGCTGAAGCCAAAGCCCTTTGAGTAACCTTCCCCTTGAGCACAACCTTAACAGTTCCGCTCCTCCACCCTATTGGTCTGCCCGATCCTACTCCTACTCCCTCCGCTTTTCTGACCCGCTTGGTTCCTTCATTTCTGCTCGTCTTGTCCCACCCAACTATTAGTCCGTCCAACCGCCTCACCAGTCCACTCCTAGACTAGGAACCACTCAACTGGTCCTATCCCCGTTTAGTATCATAGTTCCGCTTTTCGGATCACCGGTAATCCCTATACCCTAGCAATTCTGATCCGTTGCATACATACTGTTCCCCAAGCCTTATTCTTGTATGTCTCAGTCATCCTATTGTAATCCTGTACACTCAGCACATAGCAGAAGGCTATGCTATGCTCATCACTTAGAGTATATAAACATATGTACATTTGTCTGTAGATACTCAGTCTGAATATTACCTTTTCTAAGCCCTGCTCTTCTGTCCTTTGACTTAGGCTTAACCTGAGTCAAAACTCCTGTTTGCCGACTTAGGGGATTGACTCCCTAGGTTGGCTGCTTCCCCGCTCCTCTGTTCCTCCACTCCTCCACTCCTCCATTCCCCCATTCCTCCATCCCTCCGCTCTTCTGACTCCCCATGCATTGGCCACCTTTCCTGCGCATCGGAACTGATCCCTGCACTCTTGCACATCCGTCCCCTCTGTTCCGCCCTACTTCAGACTTTGTCCAAGCAGTTCCTTCCGCTCCGCTTCTACTGTTCCTTCCGCTCCGCTTCTACTGTTCCTTCCGCTCCGCTTCTACTGTTGGTTCCGACCACAGTAACCTTCAACCTCTCTCCTGTCGGGCAGAACAATCCCCACCTGACTTTCCCATGCTCACCTAGTAGTCCGTCAGTCCTCCTTCAGAGGACCCCCATTCCGACGTCCTGTCGGAACTCATAGAACTTGTGTTGGACTACATTCCGAAATTAGGGGCACATACTTGGGTAAGGGGCGCAGCACACAAGCTGAAGCCAAGCCCCTCAGAATCTGCCTTACCCCTGAGCACAGTCTTAACACAAGCAGTGCACACACTGTGATGTTGCAGGGCTACTCAACCATGGGCAATTGCATATGCCACTGTCCAGGTATAAAGTATGACTTCTGATTGGCACCTTGATTTGTTAATGTGGTGGCTTAGCTTCGCTTCACTTTGTCCAGTGCTAGCTCGTGGCAGATCATGGATGATGACTTCAACAGCAAAGTTTTCTATAACCATATTGTTGATTTCTTTGAGCTTCCCCCAACACAAGACGCAGCAAATGAAGTAGATGATATTTTACTATGGTGGAACTGGTGAGTAGCCTGCCACTGCTCTTTGTCCTCCATCTCATTATATTGCATATTAGCAAAGTTTTCAGTTGCAAATATGTGTCTGTTTATTGCCCCCAAAGGGTTGAACAGTGGTCAGTTGCTCGGACATGGGCCGGACAAGCCTAATTGGCTCCAAACTTGCAATGCTTCTCCCTCCCTTCACTATCTCCCTTCCTCTGCTGTCTCCCTCACCTCTGCTGTCTCTCTCCTTCTGCCATCTCTGTCTCCCTCCTTCTACTGTCTCCCTCCTTCTACTGTCTCCATCTCTCTGTTGTCTCCATCTCCATTTCCATTTCCATCTCCCTCCTTCTATTGTCTCTCTCTCTGTCATCTCCACCTCCCTCTCTCTGTCGTCTCCATCTCCCTTCCTCTGCCATCTCCCTCCTTACACCATGTCCCCCCTTCTTCCTTCTGCCTCCTTCCACCATTTCCTTCCCTCTGCCGTCTCCGTCTCCATCTCCTTCCCTCTGCTGTCTCCCTCCCTCAGCTACTGTCTCCATCTCTGTCCCTCTTCCATCTCTCCCCTTCCACCGTCTCCCTATCAACAACACTGTTGCTATGGTTCCTACATATAATACTTCCTACTTGTATAAGTAGTACATACTATGTGATTTGTATGTGTCCCATGGGTGAAGCTACCCAAAATTACAAACAATAGCATCGTGATTTGTTCCTGGTTTATCGTGATATATGTGCACTGCATTGCAATGGAAATTTGGCATTGTATAGTTGAGGATATAATACCTGTTTGTCATTCATTAGCTGGTTATCAACAAATTGTTTGCACTGGGACATCAAAACTGTATTGCTCTTATGAAGCAATTACCCATCTATGTTACATATAGCAAAACATAACATATCTTTCACTTTAGTAAATGAAGACTCATGGTGTCAGAAACTTTCTATAAGATAATTTATATCTGGTATTTTTCATTGGTCTAGACATGGAACAACTTTACTTACTTCATCTGCCAGACACATGAGAACAATTGACAGTATTTGGATGCACTAGTCTCATACACTATCAGGTTGGACATGATTGGTAATACTAAAAACCAAGTTTTGGTATTATCATAACTAGATTCATCTGACTCACATTCAATATACCCATCTACGTGACAGATAGCAAAACATAACATGCCTTTTGCTTTAGTAAACGAAGACTCATGGTGTCAGAAACTTTGTATAAGATAATTTATGTCTGGTATTCTTCACTAGTATAGACATGGAACAACTTTACTTACTTTGTCAGCTAGACACATGAGAACAATTGACAGTATTCAGATGCACTAGTCCCATACACTATCGGGTTGGATGTGATTGCTAATGCTAAAAACCAAGTTTCAGTATTATCATACCTAGATTCATCCGATTAATGCTAAATATAGGTCATCATGATTGTTGTTACTTGAGGAGGATGACAATGTAGGTGTATATATAACCTGATGTGACTGGCAGGTCTGTCTAAATATGATATAAATTAATCACTAATCAAGCATCCGTAAATAAGCTGCACAACCGGCAACAATGCTCTGAAGCGTGGAAACTACACACTATAAACATATCAAGCATGTTTTTTTTTTAGTTTTTACACAGTCAAATTCATTTGACTAATGCCAGACACAGGTTATCGTGATAAAGACTGGTCATAAGGGATAACAGTATATCCCTATACAAGACTATGGCTTCTGCAGTGCCATATTTTTTCTGATTATAGGCATTGTTGGGATTATAATGTGTATATAAGGGTTTATCATAGATCTTGGTTTTCAGTGATGCGTGCATTTAGTGGCGGAAAGGTACAGGCCACGAGTGGATCAGTTTTCTCTGCTTTTGCTCAAAAAGGACATCACAGCTTATGTGTTACACACCATAGCTACCTCAACTGCAGTCGAAGGTGTATTTTTGCAAAACTGGCACCTTCTACACTTCACTCGAAACTACTTGTCTCCGTCATCAATGTGTGCATTCCTCTGTCTTGGCTCGTGACTCTGCTGTGATCTGGTAGCACCCGAGGACTTTACTAAGATCATGAAGTCTCTGAAGAAAAGAAAACAAGAGGACGAGAGTGTGGTTAGACCTATGTAGTGTTAGTATTTCTTGTATGTGTACCCGCAGGTAGATGCAACACTGCGGGTAAGCTGCTATACCGTGAGTTAGTACACAGTGTTTGAAGTTCCAGTGGCAGGCCATTGGCTGGCCAGGAAAAAAGACATGGCGGTTGGCAGCGCCATGTCCATGGCTATGGCTTTTTCTCACCACGTGACACATGGATACCACGCTGTGATTGGCTGATCAGATCGAAGTGAATTACACTGTACTACACATCATATCATCGAAACTTTGCTCATCCTCTTCACCTTCTGCATCCAATTTGACAAGCTTGTAAAACTCCAGCTCATCATCAAGGGATCTCATGCCTATCCTCTCTGTCAAGTTTGTCTAGGTATCATCCGAGAAATTGAATAGTTGTTGTAGCGTGATTTGTTCAAACTGAGATGCGAATGTGTCTGTTGGATCTTCGACATCATTCAATGCCGATTGGTGACCGAGGGCTTCAGCAATGGAATTCAATGAGTTTTCATCGACAACAGAATCAAATTCACTGGTATTGGGCGTGATTTCGGATATGATTTCGTCACTTGGAGAAGTTGATATGTCCTGGTTCTGATGGGGGAGTGGGTTGGGGATGATATGCCTGGGACAACAAAGGCGATCTTTCATGCTTTCCCTGCAAGTGTATTCATCTCATAAGTGTAACATAAGCTCAGCAAGATCGAGCATTTTTGCAAGCCCAAGGCATGACCGTAACTTGGTAAGAATCATACCAAAAAGGCTGAACAGCCATTCGCAAGACGCAGAGTTTGCGTAGATAGAGAAAACGCGCTGTGCAATCATTTGCAGTGGTGATAGTGACTGGTTCTGAAAACGAATGCCTTCGTACATTCACAGGGGATCTGGTCATTCACGCTGCATAAAAGATTTTATTATATAAATCAAATGAATGAAGAATGAAATTACCTGCGCTTCAGCAGCATTCTGTTCACCTACAGCCCACTTGGAAAACCCCTCATAATTGCCACAATCCTGCAGATAGTCAAGGATTTCTTGACGAAGTGATTCTGGGGGTGGCGAGGAATAAAATTGTTGCAAAAGTTTGAGCAACGAGGAGGTGATGCCAGCTGTGGTGAATTGTTGAATCTGCGCAAATGGCTTGGCCTTATAGAAGGGGTTGAGAATGACGGTGGCAATGAAAACTGTTTGATCACTTTTGTTCCAGCACTTTTCAAGTGAGTCGATGATTGCACGAATCCTGATTTCATCGTCAGTAGAAGTTGTCACAGTTGATAAGTTGAGATATCTGGACATCAGATATCCCAGGATAATCAGGACTTCATCTAATTGGCAATGTGCAGCCTGAGCAAAATTTATGGCCATGGCAAGTGGCCCAATATGAGTAATCATTCTGACAGGAGAATGGTCATCATGACAATATAAGATGATGCAAATTGAGTGTGACAAGTACTTGGCCAAAATATGCCACATCAAAGGTTCTTCAATCAATTCTAACATCTGCTTTGCTTTTTGGCAGGATGCAGCATCACCTGTGACTATTTTTGCATCACCAGTACCACAGTCCCTTTCTTGCTTCACAAGGATCTCCAGCATAGTCCTCAAATCAAGTAGACACCTGAATGCTAAATAGTGTGCTGTCCATCATGTCAGCACTGCACGGATCACACCAAGAACCCATTGTGTCTGAGATGGGTTTGCAAGATTGAGAGCCTTCTGGACGTCCCTGAGCATGGCCAGAACCATTGTCTTGCTCCGAAGCCAAGCAATGAGATCGGTGGCCTTCTTTGTGTACTGTAGGAACTGTGATGTTGATGGAACCTTGTAGTAATCACCGACGACTAGATTTATCTGGAAGATTGAACTGAGATTTTGAGAATGTGATATGGTGTAATATTCTCACTTGATGGGCAAAACAGTCAGGGGCAACAAACCACAGAAATTCAGCAACAATCCTTTTCCTTGCTGCTCTGGATTCCCCCAAAGCATCTGATGTGATTGCTACAATTGTGGCTTTCCATTTACCCTCGACCTCCTTGATCACATCAAGGATGAGAATTTTGAGATGGTCAGCTGTTTTCCAATCCGAAGAGACATCCATCATGCGAACAGTATGCACCTGCCAGACACTTCTGAGAATACTATCAAACACATATTTTGAGGCATGTACTTCTCGTTTCAAAGTTGTTATCATAAATGCAATCAAATGACGGAAATTTACTCCAGTTCAGCCATCAGTTTGCAATGTAGCATACTGATCTTGACTCCTGTTGATGGCTGCATTCCGATGTTTTTTCTACTTCATGTGATATGATCCGATGAGATAGTTGGTAGCTTGAAACATGTGATGCCAAAGGTAACATCTCATTGAGAAAATCACAAACTGCTTGATTTTCTACCCAGTTAGAAGGAAACCTGCAGGAAGCTGTGATATTTGCAAGGTGGGTCTCGAAGCACTGTTGTGTAACATTTGATCATTGTTGAGCTTGTGTGGGAAGGCTCGGTGCCCCATTATATTCCTGGGATGCTGTTCGCACTCATTTTCTACTAGGAACAGACGGTAGTGGATCTAGCAGGAGTGATGCGGGGCTGCCAGATGTGCTATGCAGAAATGATAGTGGAAATCCGGGTGAGCCAGACACTGATGATAAGGTAGATAGTGGAGTATCAGATTGTGAGTAGCTGAAAGATGATGATCGAGTGTGTTGTGGTGCCAAAGCTTGCAAATAGGTTGGTGTCGGGGCTTGCCAAGTAGTACCAGGGATCATGGGAATTGTCCCTGATCCACTGGTTGAAGGATTAGAAAGAGAATTTGCTGAAAATGGGGGAGGGACACCAGATTGGTATGAGGACATATCTGCACCATGAAAGTAAGGGTCTCATGTCTGCGGCAGGAGACTGATATTTTGCTGCAGGGGACTGTTTAGGTTGATAGTGTTACTGCGACCAGCACCTCTGATCCAGTTTCGTGCGACACACACTCCATATGCCTGTTCATGATCTGGTCTTGTGTTTGAAGTTCATGAATCTGCCCCTGTTGAATTGCTTCTTGATCACATTGCTGCTCATTGATGATTCATGCAGTCCAACATGGCTCACACGTCACCTTTGGACATCGTTCTTTGATATTTGCATATGAGTCTTGGGCCTTCTGAGCGTACAAGGGGTGGATATCAAACAATTTCCACCACCATCCTTCATCATCATGATGCCTCGTTGGAGGCATTTGAACAGGTAGTACAAGAGGATTTCAGTCACAATCTTGGAACATCAGCTTTCTTCTCATATTAGAATCAAACCACATGTACATGAACTATTTGAGCAACGATCTTGATGTACAATTCATTGTATGGAGTGATATCGTAGTAAATGCGAAAATTGGATATATTTGGCAACTAGCCATAGCCATGATCATGGCGGTGGCGGCTGCCACTGGCTAGCCACCGGATATACCCGTCAGCATGCCTGGCGCACCATTGGCGCTCCAAACACTGTTAGTACGGGTACGGTGTTGATCTTCCGACCCGCGGGTATACCCGTGCTATACCCTAACCTCGGGTAGTAGCCGAGACAGCGGAAGGATAAGATTGCAGCGATGCTGCCTAGCGATGGGCGCGTCATACACGGAGCCCCGCTACCAAGTACTGAGGCATATGTAGCATAGCAGAGAAGTGGAAGGAAATGTCTGTATATTACGATAATTGTAGGTCCGTCTTTGATGATACAAGCTGAGCTTTTGCAGCTCTTCGCTCTCCCTCCTTGGCTCTTCGGCTAGCACGCTCTATCGCGTCCTTCCATGCTAGAGAGTCCTTGATTGAAGTCGCCCGCAAAACAATGGTATCGCCACCCCGTGGATAAGCAAGATGCAGGCGAAGCACAGAGTCCTCTACAGCACAAGGTAAGTTCGAAGTCGCAATAGGGTAGAAATGTAACAAACCTCGCTCTGTTCTCGACCCCTTTATCTGTACTTCATTGAGGGGTATGGGCTGTCGCAGTGTCAGCACCGAACGAAATTCCGACCACGACGAAAAGAACACTTACAACACGATATAGGCCTCTCCCCACATCATCCGTCAAAACAAGTATGTCGCTGCACAGGAACAGACGAAGTTTGCGCCCACTTTTCGCTTTGCTCACCACCCCTTCCTTCAAAAGCTTTCGCGGTCCCAGGTGGCGTGTCGGCGCTGTAAGATTAAGACGACTGGGAGATAACTCAACAATACCAGAAGTAAACAACCAAGAAATCACGCACCCTTGCCCTATCCACAGATCTTTGCTGATCTCACTCAGCCTTTCCCTCCCTTCTTGCTCCCGTATCGTCTCGTTCACATGCTCCAGAATCTTCTCTGCTGCGTCCAAAGCCGCGATGATGTTTCGCCGTTCCTTTGCGTCGCTTGGGAGCTGGAGGGAGATTGCTGGCGGGTGTGCACTGGTTGTGGTTTTTATATCAGCGTTGGTCGTGGTGGGTGGGTCTGTGTATTGAAGGATTTGGCGGATGAGGAGAGGGTATCGAGTGAGGCGTTGCACTGGAATGAAAATCAGCTGGAGACATTTCATCTTATAGCGAATGACTGAACTAGGAACGAGGAGGTAATGCGATAGATCAAGATTTCGAGCTGATGGGTCATCACGGAGGCGCTAAGAGACTTGTCAGTTAAGGTCTGGATAAAACTTAGCTAATATACCTGAAGTTGTGCAGCAAGGTCAGGATCACTGTCTCTCATCGACTGAAGCACCTTGGCAGCATTGAACTGGTTAACGCAATACGACTCCAAAAAGGTAAATACCAATGTCACGCAGACTAAACAACCACACACCAGATAAAGATGCATATTGGGGATATGTGTCTCCAGAACATCGCCAATGTGGTCGATATAGAGTCGACAATCTTTCTGGCGTTCTTCGAGAACAGAGAGGAAAGTCTACAAGGTTGTCAGTCATAGTCGATGAACGAGGGCCGCAAATGTACAGTATTAGTGAGTAGGATATCTTCAATATTAGCAAATATAACAGTCGTCGCCTTCTCTCCAAGCGTGCCCATAAGTCGAGAGTAGAACAACTGTCAGAAGGTGAGTAACGTGGGTGCAGAGATAGCACTGTGAACATACTCCAACGATAAGCTGCAGATCACGAACGTAGTCGGCCTCGGTGAAAATGAGTTCAAATATCGCCTGCAAATCGTGAGCCAAGAAACACATCAAGCTCATCTCTCTTACCTCTTGCCGCCTTCGCTCCATCTTAGGAATGCCCTCAAGCGCCGACTTGTCCACTAAGCTCGCCCACGACTGCTCACCTCAATACAACTCCCAGCGAGAATAAAAAAACAAGGAGACGTACCGTTCCAAAACTCGAACCATCATCTCCAATCTCACCACCAGGAGGTGTATTGATGATCGGACCAGAAATGACGAGCGTTTTCTTCTCAGGTTCCGGCGTAGTCGACCTAGTCGTGTGCCTCCCCAAAAAGCTCAAAAACTGAGACGTACGGCTCTCTCCATCTCTATGGTTAAGACTAGGCGCCAACGACACAACTGGCGACCGCGGCGGCGACGAAGGAGATGTATCAAAGGACGAGACGGACATCCTATTGGTGAGGTTCCCATTCGTCTTCTTGAACACCTCGTACCGATCAAAGGCGTCGTCCAAACGAGAAGTCGAATCGAGTTCAGTATCTGTCAAATCGACGGTCGGCACTGGCGGAAGGTTCTTCGAAGTCGCTGATACTATGGAAACACGGTGTGGAGTAACGGGCGGAGGACGGCGCTTCTGTACTGGCGGATCAGACGGCGCCATCATACTGGAGCTGGTATCTATAATCAGCCCCGCCGCCTCCAACACTCGTTGGCGTTCAAGCTCTCGAGCGTCTTCGTCCTCGACTGTCCCAGCGTCAGATCCCTCGGAATCATCATCTGTTCCGTCCAGCGAAAAATAGTCTTCGCCCCCGTCGGAAGAACTGTCAGCATGGTCGTCCTTATCAGGTGATCCACGGGCTGCTGCTGCTCCCGACATGTCAGGGCATTCAACGATGTCAAGGTTAGTCGACGTCTTCTCACGCGGGTTCACGCGTTGAGGAACTCCGGTGCCTGCAGACAACGAAAATGGTATTTCCAAATCGTACATGTAAAAGAAAAGCAAAAGAATTGATTTTAGTCTAGTTGCCAACAACCAGTAAGGTTAAGAGGAAAACTCAAGGGGGAGGCGACAAAATCCACGAACCCTCTACTATCTCCAAGTAAGCCGCTGGCACGATGAAGACGATCCCGTCCCGTTCAGCTTTCCACCAATCTGCTTCACTTCTATCTATGATGGAGAGTTCGTCGCCTTCGGCAAAGGGAAGCTCGTCTGTGTTCCCCCCTGCGTATGAGTACACCGCGTTTGCTTTCACTACATAGGCGCGATAAACATATGGAAAAAAGAAGTACATCGAAGTTCACGCACCTGGTTCCACCATCTGCACGTATGTCTGTGGGAAGAAACCAGATTTTCCGTCCTTCAGGATAGTGCCGTACCACCAATCGCCTCCCGACGTGGACGGATGAGCTATGATGATCAGGTTCTCAGCGAAACCTAATAAACTAGTCAGCGATCAGTTGTACACGTCGACACTAAGCATACTAAGATCATCAGGTCTCTGCCCCTCATACGGGTAAAGTGACCGCACACGGAACTCTGCGAAATCATCAGGTCACACCTCCCCTCCACGCCATAACCGCTCACCAGTAGACTTATCAATATCATCCATCAAATCAGGCGTAGCATCTGGCACTTGGATATCCAACACCGCAGACGCCTCCTCAAAAGCCTCCTCGTCCTCCTCGAGAGTAGCTGGCAAGTGATGCACAGCGCCTTGGTCAGCAGCAAGACCAGTATACCAATCAACCGATTCCCTCTTACTGTGTCCTGAAGTTGACTCTCTGGTCATCCGGGGTGCCTCTATGACAGGCTTCAAGACCGGAGAAAGCACGAGTGCTACTGGCTCGATAACCGCGGGAGGCGACACTGGCCGCGGTGCAGCGTTGATGTGAGCAGGAGTAGCAGCATCGCCGATAACTTTGCCCGAGGTAGCTGCAGCACTCCGATCATGGGTAACAGCCTTCCTCAATCTCGCCCCTCCTTGAATAGCGCTCAAGAGGGCACCACGATCACCAGTTGGAGCTGGGGCCGTAATGTTGCCTACCGGTGGTGGGGGCGCAGCAGGAGCCGAAAATACAGGAGGCGCAGGAGGCGCAGAAGGCGGCGGCGAAGATGCAGCAGGTCCAGGACTTCTAGGAGACTGAGGAACAGGTCCAGCCGACTGCGGCCGAGTAGGCAATAAGTTCCCAAACAACTGCTGCGCTAAGCCCATGCGCGTATCTCGCGAACCCAACTCCTCATCGCTGCTGTCATTGGCTTCGTTCTCCATGACATCATCCCAATCATCTTCGCTATCGCCTCCGGCTGTGTTGTAGGTCGTCTTGCTTGAAGGAGGGCCGGGACTTTTGGGGGGAGCGGGTGCTACTGGTGGGGTTGCAGGAGCAGTGGGTGGAGGGGCGGGTTGGTTGAGGAAGAAGGGGTTGCCGCTGCCATGGGTTGATGCCGCAGGAGTTGAAGTAGCTGATGCACCCTCCTTCATCATTCGACTAAAAGGATTAGTGCTCGACTTATTTGCCGACGGTGCAGGGGGCGGGGGCGGAGGGGGCGGAGGTGCCACTTCTTCAGGCTCTGCTGAGGATGAAACAGGAGCAGGTGGCGGTGGCGGTGGTGGGGGGGCAGGAACGAAGGCAGGGGGCGGGGGGACAGGAGATGAGGGCGTGACAGGAGACGCAGCTGATTTCCCAGCCAAGAACCGCTCTCGGCGCGCCCGGTATGCTTCCTCGGCGCGACGGGCCTCTTCCTCCTCTTCTTCAAGTTTGCGGAGAAGTGCATCGTGGTCTTCCCGTTTCTTACGGAGGGCAACTTCACGGGCTTTGAGAGCTGCGTTTTCTGGGTCCTCTTTGGATTCAGCAAGCACTGGTGGGGGAGCAGGTGCTACGGGAGCTGGCGGGGGAATAACAACGCGCACAGGCGTCGGTACTGGGGGAGCGGGAGAGAGCGCAGCAGGTGAAGTCAGAGACGGGCGAAGAGCTGGGCCCTTCCTTGGTGGAGGTGGTGCCGGCGCGCGGGTTTTCAGGGCTTGAGGTGCAACCTTGGGTGCAGGGGCAGGAGGCGGGGCGGTGGTCGTGGGTGTCGGCACAGTTGGCGTGGGCTGAGGAGTCGCCTTGCCTTCCTTGAGCGCCTTCTCACTTTCAAGCCGTTCCCTCCTAAGTCTCTCGCGCTCTTCAGCCTGTCTCTCAGCTTCTTTAGCTTTTTCCTCAGCTTCCTTCTTCTCTTGAGCGAGTCTGTCTTCAACACTGACATCCAAGGTAGGTGATGCGACCGAGGATGGCGCAGATACGCCCAGAGCTTGCATGCGCGCTTCGAGACGCTTCTTGGCCTCCGCTTGGATAAATGCTTTGCGCTCTTCAGGGTTCATGTTCTTTTGTCCTGGAGCAGGTGAACGACTGGGGGCTGGTGGTGGTGGGGCAGGTTGCGATATGTTGATTGCCGGTGCAGCAGGCGGCGGTGGAGGGGGAGTACGAGTTGATGTCGACAGTCCGCGATCCAGATCCCGATCATCATGACGGTCACGGTACGACCTATCTCTGTCATAGTCCCTGTCATCCCTATCATACCGCGATCCACCACGAGAATAAGGTCTATCGCGCTCGTCATCTCTATAGCGCACGGAAGGCGAATGCCTCTCATCCGCGTCGTCGAACCGGCCAAATCTCTCGTTCCTCCGATCACGCTCTCTGGCGTACTCGCGCTTCTCCCTCTCTTTCCTCGCCTGACTGTCTTCGATCCTGCGCTCTAGCTCGGGTACACGCTCGTGCATGAGCTGCAAAAGCTCTCTCTCCAACCTCCTACGCTCCTCTTCTTTGCTCGCGCTCCTCGGACCGCGGGAGACATACTCCAGGTCCTCTTGCAGCCGCTTGATACGGTAACGCAAGTCGCTCATCTCACGATCAAGATCATCATCGCCCGCATCCGCAACGGCACTTGCATCAAGCATCTTCTGCGTGTTGGCGAGCTGCCGCTTCAGGTCAGAGATATCTGCAGTAGGGCTGTTGTCTTCATTGCGCGAGCGCACAGTGCTGCGGTCGATGTGCCTGCTCCGGGGTTGGTAGAACCCGCCAGGAGGCTCTGCATCGGTGTGCTTGTAGACTGTGGCGTCCTGGCGGCCGCCAGCACCTGGTGCAGATGTAGAATTGAAAGAACGTTCCTTGAGACGCGAGACAGGGGTGTCGATACCCAATGGAGATCGGGCACGTGTATCGTTCTTGAGAATATCCTTGAGGAAATTAACCGAGGTATCAAGGTCTCGGGAGGAAGGAGGGATGAGTTCGGAAGGAAGTTCGTCAGGTATATCATTGCCATTCAGTTCTGATGTCGCGTCAGTGGCATCAAGTAGATGAAGCAATGTAAGGACATACTGCGGTAGATCAGGCCCATTGCGACATGGAACTCAGCAAGGTTCAACTTGCCACGGTTATCAGCATCAGCAAGAGTCCTAAATCAAATATTAGAGACTTGTAAAATAAGATGATCTGTATAATCACCAGATGCGTGCTAGTTCGTTCTTATCGAGCCCACTCTGACCGAAGACCTCGAGCGCAGTCTGACCACTAATAAAACCAGTGCCTTGGGCGTCCCAGGCTCTGAATATCTGGTCGTATTGCTTCTTTTCGGACTTGGAGAGCGTCCAGGGAATCTTGGGTGCAGATCCTATACCTCGCGCCTGATTATGTTGCTGGAATGATTGCTGCAAAGACAAGCCGCCCAACTGTTGCTGAGGAGGGGCAGCAAGCTGCGGCATTCCTCCCGCACTATATGGTGCCGAGACATTGGCAGGCAAGAACGAGCTAGACATCATCTGCAATCGCGGGTCCATAAAGCCGGTTGCTTGGGGAATCAACGGCCCAACAGTGCGACCTGCAAAGCCTGTCGGCTGAGGCACGAGGCCTGAGCTTCCACCGAATCCTGAAGGAGACAGACCTCCGAACCGATTCGCCTGAGGATTGGAGAAGCCAGGCTGCTGCTGAAATTGGCTTGGGATGGGTGGAACAGGTGGAGGCGGCGGACGAGCCTGCTGCGCGAAACCACCAGAGAGACCCGCGCCAAGGTAATGTTGGGGTTGCTGGAAACCAGTCTGTTGGGGTTGCTGGAAACCAGTCTGTTGGGGCTGCTGGAAACCAGTCTGCTGGGACTGCTGGAAACCAGTCTGTTGGGGCTGCTGGTAACCCTGTAGTCGAGGGCCTGGAAACCCAGTAGGTTGTGGAGCAATTCCACCAGGATTAAAGCCTCCAACTAATCCTCCAGGCTGGAAACCGGTCTGCTGTTGTTGACCTGGATAACCTGTGGACATGGGATACTGAAATCCCGGCTGACCCCACTGCGACATCGTGCAATAGAGGAATCTATGCAAATTTCAGCTGATATCAAAGTAGAATGAAAGAAAACGGGTCTCGTCGATGTTGCACACGGTGATGAGACACTTTAAACTGAAGCGGAGACTGCGGTTTAAGTCCAATTTTGGAATTAATAAGTTAAATTATATAATAGAATCTCAACCGCGAGCTACTGAGAAAACGACGGGGAAAGCACTGTGAATGTCCCCATTGAAGGTTGCAATATCAAAATTGACCACCAGAAGCAAATGGGGTTGAAGCAGTAGAATCAATCTCCATCTTCGAACTGGCGCTGGAGATTGCTATTGTGGACAAAGACCCAACTTCCGATGCAAACTGTACTAATTGCTGCCTTATCACGGTGAATCAGCGCTAGATCTCGGTAGTCAATACAGGATTTCGAGCTCACTGCTTGTGCTGTTTCAGCATCTCGAGCATTGCAACTACACTGTCCTGTTCCTCAACCAAGAGGTCACCTCCTGCTAGTGTGTTTGCGTAGTCTTTCGCCTGAGCAAGCGTATATTTGAAATCATTTGTCTATTACAACGCAGATTAAAATACTTGATCATGATCTTCCCATAGGAAGGAACATACCGCTTGTAGCAGTGCTTGTTTAGCTACAGGAGTTGCTGTCCCTTCTGCCTTTTGGGTGAGATCAAGCACCACAGCAACCTTGGGTAGTAATCCTTCGAAAAGTGACGTCGGTAATGGATCCGGTGTACTGGCCATGTTACAACTTGATCAATCGATTGCTTTTTGGCGTTTAACAGCCAAATCGCTTACGTCATCTAATGATCACACTGCGGTTGCCTTTCACTGCAGTCACTAAGTACTGTGGCACCGCATTACTTCTTCATGTCATCGCAAGGCAATCTAGATGTGAGTATCGTTCAAGACCTTTGGAGTACATGGATTTCTAACAGATCTTAAGAAAGCCATAGAGCTTGTCAAGGGTGCTATCGATGATGATGAAAAGCAGAACTATCCTGAAGCGTACAAGCAGTACATGAATGCCCTCGACTATTTCATGCTGGCTCAGAAGTGTATGTCTACCTCCGAAAAAATCTGTGATCTGCGCTTATATAGATTTAGACGAGAAGAATGAGAAAGCGAAGCTACTTGTCAGGACGAAAATTGAGGAGTATCTTGCCCGAGCGGAGACCTTGAAGAAGCATTTACAGAGAGATGACAAGAAGTCCCGCAAGCCCGTCAGCGCAGATGGTTCTGCTAACGGCACCGGTGGCAAGGGGCCTGTTGACAGTCCCGATGATGACAAAGATCCTGACCTCAAGAAGCTACGCGCAGGTCTTTCGAATGCCATTCTAGCAGAGAAACCGAATGTGAAGTGGGATGATGTTGCTGGTTTAGAAGGAGCGAAGGCGTCCCTCAAGGAAGCTGTTATTCTTCCTATCAAATTTCCTCATCTCTTCACTGGAAAACGGACACCATGGAAGGGTATCTTACTATACGGCCCGCCGGGAACTGGCAAGTCCTATCTTGCGAAAGCTGTTGCTACAGAAGCCAAAAGCACATTCTTCAGCGTCAGCTCAAGTGACTTGGTCAGCAAGTGGCAGGGTGATTCAGAACGGTTGGTGCTCAACGCTACGCTACGTTCAACTCGCCTCATAATCCTTCTCTAGGCTGGTGAAGAATTTGTTTGAAATGGCTCGCGAACAGAAACCCGCAATCATTTTTATCGACGAAGTCGACTCTCTAGCCGGAACACGAAACGAATCTGAGTCTGAAGGCTCCCGGCGGATTAAGACTGAGTTCTTGGTGCAAATGAATGGCGTTGGCCATGACGACACTGGCGTTCTCGTTCTCGGGGCAACTAACATCCCTTGGCAACTCGATCCTGCAATCAAGCGTCGTTTCGAGAAACGAATATATATTCCACTTCCTGGCCCAGACGCGCGGAAACGAATGTTTGAAATCCACGTTGGTAGTACGCCATGCGAACTAGATCCAAAGGATTATCGTCTTCTGGCTGGTCGAACAGAAGGGTGCAGTCTTTCACTACATTTGTGGGAAGTGATCCATCTAATTACTATCTAGGTATTCTGGCTCAGATATATCCATCGTAGTCCGCGACGCTCTTATGCAACCAGTTCGCAAAGTCATATCGGCGACACACTTCAAGCCTATGACACCTTCTTCGTCGTCTGAAAAGATCAAGTGGACACCATGCTCACCAGGCGATTCAGACGCCGTTGAAAAGACTTGGTCGGATATTGACTCCGATGAGCTTGTAGAACCGCCGCTGAGGCTAGCAGATTTCATTAAGAGCTTAGAAAACGTGCGACCGACTGTCACTGAGGCCGACATCAAGCGCCATGATGATTGGACAAAGGAAAGCGGTATGTTCTATGCATTAGATGCAACCCAGTCCTTCATTAACTTTTGGCTTTCCAGGCAACGACGGGGCATAATTTCTCATTCTCACCCATATCTCACCACTACATACCACAATACCGTACTGTTCTATACTACTGCAAAGGAATCCTTGCGCCCTTTGACAATAGTAGGTGGCGTAAAGACATCAATTCCAAAGCCAGGTAACTACTACAAGACGCTATGATAGGCAGGTGCGTAGACGGAGTGACAGATGATGGTGAAAAAGAGAAAAGGAATTACATACTATGCAGAAGGCATATTGTTCTCTGCATATTATGCATCAAGAATACAAGCGGCGCTGTGTTCCAAGAGGGCTCATATTAAGTTACAACATACAAGGTGTTGGCACACGCAGCACCCCCTCAAGGACAGTGCCCTCCGCCTCATGATGACACGAGCTGCGCGTGCGCCTGCTGCATCGCATGCACATGCACATGCGCGGGTTTTGCTACAGCATGACAAACTTCTATATTCTGCACCCACAAGTGCGCCACGACGTCCTCGATTGGAGAGCGCAGTTTCGGATCTGGCTCAAGCATCTTCCGGATTAAACTGCGGCATGCCCGTGGGCTCAGATTGGTGATAGTTGGTGGGAAAGCGACATCCTTGTCTTTGTCCTTGTCCTTGTCTTTGTGTTGAGCTGCACAGGCTGCAGCATACGCCGCATAGAGCGTATCAGATGTTTGAGCAGCACGCCAGGGCATCTCTTGGAAGTGAAGGCAGTAATACACGATCCCGCATGCCCAGATGTCGACTAAACGGGCGTCGTATGCTATTTTAAGTAAAAGCGAGAGAAATTATTGCCTGAGCATTCAGGCAACCGGACAGAGGAGGGTTGTATGCGGCTTACGTTTGCCTAAAAATTGCTCTGGGGCAATGTACGGCTCACTACCGCAAAGCCCCGTCGACATGTGAATTGTTGCTTCCCATGGGAGGCGGTACACAGTTGATGCACCATAGTCACCGATCTATAAACGCGTGAGAAGAGAGCAACACATAAGGCATGTTCGCCCACCTTCAGGTGACCCTTGGTGTCGAAGAAGAGATTCTCCGGTTTAATATCACGATGGGCGACGCCCTGACTGTGGAGATACGAAACGCCCAAAAGCATCTGCTTGAAGCAGCATTCGACTTCACTAGGCGACATACCACCTTTCTTGATCGCAGCGTAGAGATCTCCACCAGGACAAAATTCCATAACCTCACACCAATGCTGGTTCTCGTCCTGAACGAGATCCACTGTCTCGACTATGTTGACATGGTGCAGCGTGGAGGAAATACAAAACTCTGCGGTGAGTTTCTTGACGTACTCCTTTTCTGATTCATTCTTTCGTCTTTTCCGGAACTCCTGAATAAAAGGCGGTGGTTAAAAGCCGTGATGGGTAACGGCGGGCTGGCCTGTCTGCTTACCTTGACAGCGTACAGCTTCTCTTCACTTCTATCCCATTTATGGGCCAGGCGGACGACGGAAGTAGCCCCCTTGCCAATAGCAACCTTTTGGCAAACACCGTACTTCTGCGTCAGACTGACTGCGCTCTCACCAGCGACTGATTTTCGCTCCACGTCGGAATCTGACTTCCTGCTACTAGTTGAACGGGCGGAAGACTTGCGTGAGAGTTTAGGTGCAGAAGTGATGAGATCCTTGAGAGTGAATTTCTGCCCACTGTCCGAGTGAGCATTTGACGGCGCCCTTGACCGGCTAGTCGTCGGGGGCGGTTTCTCTGATGGCGCAAGTTTGCCCTTTTGAGGAGTCTTTGGCATAGGTGGCACCACTAGCTTATTACCCGACAAACCACCAGATATGCTAGGAGCCCGGCTCACGGCCTGGCTCGGAGGACGGGTTGAAGGGGCACTCCAGCTCTCACTCTCCGATGGTGAGGGTGAATCCGTTGCAAAGGGCATTGCGGAGTGTGGGGTTCCGCCGATGGCACCTTTGAGCACCTTGGGTAGTTGCATGCGTGACACCGAATGGTAAGTGGTACCGTTGACAAAAGTATTGGAGTGGGGGTGAGTGTGGAGAGCACTGCCATCAAGTGGGGGCTTGTCTGAGCCGTCAGGGCCTTCGCCCTCGCTCTGAACGGCGTCTGCTGAGTCAAACATCGATGTGAAAGAGGCGGTAGAAATTGCGATATAAACGTGGGGGTTGGCGGGGGTTACCAGAGGCTAGTCTCCGTTGCTGACCTAATACCGAATCGAGAGCGAACAATCACGGATCTCGAAGAGGACGAGTGGTAAGGTCGTGTCCTACAGAGACAGCATGTTGATTTGAGACAGTTGAAAGAAGTTTGATGATATGCTGTCGTGGGACGAACGGCAAAAAAACCCAGCCGGTAACGAGTTTGTGGCAAGGCGATTAAACCCTCCCGTAAACGCCTTTGTCAAGCCCTGGACTGGGACCTTTATCTAGCTAAGATAACAACTTCCGACAACGTTAAGAACGGCGACAACGGATATTGGAAGGACGCAAAAAATCAGAATGTGATGGAAGTGGGTGATGCCGTTAAAATAAAAGAGAACGAAACGTCTTGGAAGACTTTTTGAACGTTCGTCAAATCTAACGTCAGAACCTGACAGTCCGTGGCGCGGCTGAGTAAGCAGTGTACCTGTCTGCTACCTCTACAAGTTGAATCCACTGCGCACAATATTAATATTTATTGTTACATGTACATAGACCAGCTCAAGCCATGTAATTTCCAATTAGATACTGAAATTTAAAGTGATAGACATCCGTAGGTTACGTGACATCCGGTTCAACGCTCTAGTTCACCAATTCTTCCGCACGACAAGTATATCCACTCCAAACCAAAAATATATCATAAATACTTATAGAAGGCTCTCCTGCTCGGACTTGACAGATCAGCTTCATGTCGGATCTCGGAATCATATCAGGGCCGAGCCTACTAGGACCCCTAGACAGACCGAAGGAAGACAGTCGCCCCTGTATGATCCCAGCACACCGTTTCTCGCGGTTCATAAGGTAAATCCATGCACGAAACACCAAATCATATCAATCGTCACACCCGACAGCCGCAGATAAGTAAGAGACACGAGAAAATATTATGCGGAATAACGAAATCGGCGAACCCAACAAGGTGGCTGACGGGCCGTGCAACCCAAATATACGTTGGCGAATAGCATTAACACCTGCGCCGCAACAGACGCCATCCCGCAGCATGGAACGCATGAGAATGAATGTCATCTGCTCAAACCAACTTTGACATTGACGAGACTCAGCACCACTAATTAAGCAAGCCTCTGGCCCTCTGAAAGATGGTTGCGACATTGTGGCATGGTCCACCCTCAAACTTCCCTGCGAGAGGTATAAAATCCATTCATCATATTATGTCGTCACTCGGAGAGTATGCCTAAACCAACCAACTGGTATTGCCACGTGGCCCACAACCCTAGCAAGCCCTGGTAGCGGTCAGCCGCTCTCGTGGTCAACGGGATTCTAGAGAACTGGACTTTGTGCAATATGCGGGTGATTTTGTAGCCAAATTTGAAATGGTAAGTACTAAGTACGGACATCGGGAATGTCCGGTGGGTCTGGTCTTGACTGTATAGTTAGACTACATAAGGTTCAGTGGCTTCCTTACGTAACATCACGGCTACGCTGGTGAAACTGAAATTGTAGCTGTCCTCATCGACAATCCTCAAGATCAAGGTGAGAAACGCTGCCAGTCCAAATTTTACTCCCTTTCATTGCTTTTTGAGTCAGACACCGCCATGGTCAACCTTCGTTCTCAAAAGCGACTTGCTGCCGCCGTCGCTGGTGTTGGCAAGCGCAAAATCTGGCTCGACCCCGCTGAGCAAGCTGAGATCGGGAATGCCAACTCCCGCTCGCACGTCAAGAAACTCATCAAAGACGGTCGGGTTATCATCAAGCCTACTGTCATCCACTCCCGCGCTCGCACCCGTGACCTTCTTGCTGCTAAGCGCAAGGGTCGCCACACTGGTCCGGGTAAGAGGAAGGGTACCGCTGAGGCTCGTCTGCCCACCAAGGTGCAGTGGATGCGGAGACAGCGGGTTTTGAGACGGTTGTTGAGAAAGTACAGAGAAGCAGGCAAGATCGACAAGCACCTGTGAGTGTGTTGTTCCCTGCAGACGCTGGTCTCGTGTTCTCACGCGGATGGCAATGATAAGATATCATTCCTTGTACCAAAAATCGAAGGGTAACGTCTTCAAGAACAAGCGCGTTCTCATGGAGTACATTCACAAAGCTAAGGCTGAGAAGAACCGTACCAAGGTCCTCACCGACCAAATGGAGGCTCGCCGTGGCAAGAACAAGGTCGGTTTTCAAATTCTTATAAATATGTATTCGTCGCTGACCTTTTTAGGCTACCCGCGACCGCCGCGCCAAAAGGCTGGCAGAGAAGCGGCAAGCAATTCTTGCGGTGGAGCACGAGGCAGCTGTTCAGGAGTAAAATGGTTGTTGGATATTCACGATTTCATTTTGACCTGCTTGGTCCTGTACCCTATAGCACTTATGCTATGTTCACATGCCTCTACGATCCCTCACATACTTCATCATGCATTCTATCTTCTCCTCATATTCTCCATCGGAAACATGATGAATACGTGCAACGTTCCCTGAGGTTAGATATTGTGCCTAATTGACAGGGTGGTGCTGTGAATGATGCGTAGACATTATGCCCGCCTTTCTTGTTGACAGAAGTGATCACGTCAACATGACATGGGCAGGATCTAAACACATCCTCTTTACATTCCTGTCTTTGGCCACGGCCTCTACCATCTCCCTTGTAATCCCCACCACACCTTCCAATGTGCTCGCCAAAAACCCACATTCATTTAATGCAAACGCAGCATCCTCGATGCGTAGATTCGTGGCTGATGCAATCTCTGCAAGGGTGGACCGCACGACGACATGCGAGGTCGCGCTGCCGTCGGGATTTGAGGTTGTTAACACGGTGCGCATTGCCGTAATGGTGTCTACAGAGCCGTTGAGGGCTGAACAAATTATATGTAGAAGCAAGTAGACACTCACCATCCAGCCCGTTCGGTGTTGCAAATGTAGAATTTGAATCAGGCGTCTCTCCATCCCATCCTTTCGCCCGTTTCTTTCGCGAATTAGCGTCCTCCGAGGGCGGAGGCAGCACACCAGTTAGGTCAGGTAGTCGCCCTGAAGACATTACCGTGGATCGATCTGGTGGGAGGACTGACAGAAGTCGTCTGCACAAGATGATGAGGGGAGTGCAGGCGCGAAGAGTTGACAGCTAACCTAAAGAAGCGAATGAGTGTAGCCACCCAGTATGTGAGGTAGCTTCTTAAGCCCAGGTCTGAAAGGGGTCGTTCGGGTGTACCGATTTTTCCTGCACGGCGGGACACCTCGTAGCCTGCACAATGTCAGTCGCACATATTTTGAGGGTTACATGAGCTCACACGTACTGAATTCAATCATGAGCATTCCATAGCCCTTACGCTGATATGGAGGGAGGACAATGATGCACGCAAGATTATAGTCGTCGTAAGATATTTTCTCCTGCACGCGGAATAAGCATTCAGGACTCTACGTTTAGCGGACGGGATACCTTTGAAAAGAAGCCCAGAACATGATCTCGCTGTGAATCTGCGTCTGTAAGAATATAGAACAAGACTAACGCGCGTGTTAGCTGGAGCCATTGCGCCCGGCATGAACGCACAATTGTCACAATCAAAGAACAAAGTCTTGACGTCGATGAACAATTTTCCGAAGAGCGAGAGGTTTTGGCAGTAGAGCTGAAAGTTGTCGTAAGCAATTCGAATGAGGATGGCGGAACCGAGTAGACCTTATCCTTGGCACCATCGACCTCCCAAATTATGTGCGCACCTCGCTGATAAACCTTTCGTCCTGGCGGATGTCTTCTGTCGCATTGTTTCTTGAGCGAGTTATACGTATAAGCCAGCAGTACACGCGAAAAGATACGGACGTACTACATGCATCTCCCATGCTGCACCCTCGGCCATATACTTGAAACAGCGATCGCATACCCATAATATACTCTTTTCTCCGGAAAGGTGTGAGCGAGTAAGCCCGCCAGCCAAGAGGTCAGAGGTGCGCCCATGTGAACGGACAGTTGCTCGGTTGACACCGGGAATCTTGGACGTCGAGGCTGAGCCTCCAGGTAATCCAGTGCTATCCTCAAGTTCTGAGTCTGTGAGTGGATAAGGTGAGAAATACCTACAGCACGATGTGAGTGAGGCGAAATCTATTATGATACGTGCTACGTACCAGGTCTTGATCCGCCACTGCCCAAAATTGACCTTGTCAAAATTTCTTCGCGCAGTAATCTGCTTGTGGTGTTTGATATCAAACTCCTCCTCAGTCATGAGGGGATCGGGCTGCGTTTCTGGCTTTGTAGGCGTAGGTGAAGGGGTGTCCCTCTTCCTTTTGCGCATGGATTCATTGGCAGGTCTGAGGCTAGTCCCTGAAATCCATTCGTCGAGACGTTTGTCAAACCCATCGTAGTGAACATACACCTGTCCGTCTGGGCGACGTTGAAGGATGTTCACAAATTCTGGAACCCGTTGTTCACCTCACTAGTTAAAGTTGTTGACGAACAAGTGGGACGCACGATCTGCACCGTTCTTGTTAACGACATAGCTTGTGTTCTGCGACCGAGCAGGCGGGCTTGTTGATTCCGTCATTTGGCCAGTTCGCAAGAGAGGTGGACGGGGTGCAAGTTTGAAGTACTACTTAGTACAAACAGCATATAGACGTGTGATCAAACTGAAGTGTAGTGATTCATAATATTTACCAACGAGCTATAGACCTAGTAACTTGTACATGTCCTTGCTGTCGGTATACTAATACGGTACGTACTTACTTATATGACTTATCGACAAGTTAACTCTATCTGCCCGCCGCCCCCGAGTAGCGAGCTCACTGCTTTTTGCAAAGTTCGAGCTCGAAGTTTCGATTGGAAGACCTTGTTCCTCAAATAACAACTGTACATCTGCCCTGTCATCTGCCAGGGCCGTGCGCCCTGGGCCAGTATTACTGGCAATGACATCTCCATTGGCAGTTACATAGGTTACGAGCACGTCGATTCTCATCCCTCGTACAGCATCCAGACCAAAGTATCAGACCATATCAATCCACTGGTTCTTTAGACTCGAACTTCATCTTTTTCGCCCCCACGAGGCTCTGCCAAACCATTAATTATTATTCCTAACCAACAGAGCCGCCTTTGGAGCCCACAGGCGCTCAGCTGTCTCTTCCTTTACGATCTGATATAGAAATGCTTCGTGTTCATGGCACTTCAAATGCCATGTCGTTCTTTGTTACTCTCCTCTGTGCTTCTCAAGGGTATGCATATTGCAACCCGTGAGTCAATCTCCCAACAATTTGCTTCATTTCTTATCTCATAAATGTCAGGATGAGTTCGAATTCCTGCACCTCATCCTTCTCTCAGTCAACTATCATCGGTCTTATTATTGGCGGGAGTATGTCTCATTTTCCAAAGTATTCGGCATTGGCTCATACTATAACAGTTATTCTCGTGACTATTTTGGGCATTATTGGCAGAATCCGTCGCCACAGACTCCGTCGCCAGTCCGTAGCCGCTGCACACAGGCCTGCAGTATTGACCAATGGGTATGGAACACCCAGTAACAATTATGGTAGGCCACAATCAAACGGCTTTCGCCTATCCCTCGCGCAAGCGCAATGCGCTCCTGGCCCACAGTTATCAAGACCTGTCCCCGCTCAAATGAATCCTTGGAACCGACAGGGAGTGACCCCAGTACCCTCATTTCCTCAACCATCCAATTCATCACTGATGACACACTCCGCACGCACGCGATCACCGTCCATGCCTTCTCCGACGTACCATTCACATCCAAACCAGACCCCACCTTCACCTCCCTCTTCGCTAGGTTCATCCCGCCAACCAGGCGGTTCATTTCAACTACCCCCTGCGTCTTCCCTCTCCCATTCTCCCCCTCCAACACATTCACAAGTCTCTGCCAATCTCTCCTTTGCTGAAACACCATCTATTGTTGCTCCAGCTGCATACCCGCATCCACATTCCCCCATTCCCATATCCGCTGCACGTCGGTCCCCTTCAGAGAATATGGAGATGCATTCGTTAACAGTGAACACGGCAGTTATGAATGATGAGCCTCCGCCAGCTTATACCCCAAATTAAGAGAATGTAGCATTCAAAGGAACTCTTGCACGAGATACCCAATTTTAAGCAGCATAGGGGCATATATCGCAACTGCATAAAGGTGTGAAGCATACTGTCCACTTGAACTTCGAAGTTGTCCTCTCATTTTTCTCGGCGACCTGTATCTCATCCACTACAGCTTACGTAGTATGTATCATCTGTTGAGGCCTAGGCAGTCTTCAAACTTCGAAGGGCTCATTGTCTATCTGTTAAATATGACAACTTAAAGTAACCAATGAAGAGTTTTACTTCTCGAGCTCTATTTTTCCGTAAGTCGCTAACAGGAAGTTCAACCACATAAACAACAAGGCAGTCACATTGTGACGTCCTCACATCTATGTAAGTAACCTGGGTCACTCCTGTTCAACGTTCAAGCTTCAAGAGAAACCAACTTTTCAGATTCTTTGTTCTGTGACGCTTACGGTTTGCAACCTTGCATTGACTTCATTGTATTGCACATCAACATGACCGCTATCGAAACACAACCAATTCCAATTTCCTCTCCCATTCACAGTATTGCAAAGTCCATAAACTCTCAGAACTCTCAGCTAGTCCCGAGGCTCGCTGTCGAATCGTTCGATCTCTCACCTTTCTCAGTACTGCAACGATGGTTTGGCAGGTTTGAGTTGCATGCTAACTACCCTTTGATGTAGGAGTCGTTCACTGGTCTTCTCGATGACGATATTGCAACGTCCCTGTTGTTCCCGGACCCTCCAGAAACTCGGAGAAAAGTAGATATGGTCGCGGACATGAGCTATGACGTCGAGGTTCATCGCCCCACTGGGTATTGAAATTGCTCTGACGCCTAACCCTTAGATCAAAGATGTTGCAGACCTTGCCCCCCGCTTCAGGGACGGAGAAATCGAGGTACAATTCTGTTCATTATGTCGGCGACCGTCAGAGGTGCTCATGGTTCTTGTAGGAGGTGATGGTCATTTCGCCGAAACTAAGACCCCCGTATTCCTCCAGGCAAGACGTGAAGGCTGGTGATGTGAGTTTTGGAAATCTCGACGCCCAGTTCTACACTCAGGCAAAGCTATGCAGTTCCGACTTCTCTACACACTATTCAAAGATTCCATCTCGTCGACACATCTATGCCGAAAATGCGACGACTTCAAGCTTTATGCTATGCGAATTTCGAACAAGGAGCGCCTTCGAATTCGCACTCCTCATGATTACATCCAATATCAAATGGAAATTTGCCAGGAAATTCGTGAATTGCGGTCTTCTTTTCTCTCGCCGTTCATCTGGACTTACGAGGATGGCTTTGAAATTCATTCTATCGCGGTACGCTTTATTTCGTTCCGTCGCTCCAGGCGCCAACACTTTGAACCAGGAGTTTTATCCTAATGGCAGTCTTCAAGATCTGCTCGACCGCGACACGAGCCTTAGCGAAAATCATACCCTACAACTAGCTTGCGAAATGGTAAGCTGGGCAAAACGAAGCTTTCAATTGTACTTAGATGCACTAGGTAGAAGCGCTCTCCACGCTTCACACTGCTGGCATAATCCACTGCGACCTCGCACCATGTAATATCATGTTCGATGTGTCGGGACATGTCGTCATTACGGGATTTGGCCAAGCCTGCAGACCTGATGCAGCAGCCTCTTTTCCATTGCCTGATACTGGTCCGTATTGTGCTCCTGAACTCATCCTAGGGTGGGCACATGACTTTAGTGTCGACTGTTGGAGTTTTGGCGTGCTGATGTACATGATGCTTTTTGGATCTGTGAGTTTACCACATCAATATCTTGCATCCTGTTTATGCGTTTTAGCACCCATATGTCGCCGAAAACGACAACGACAACGCTGCCGTTATGCAAACCAAGGTCATTCACTGCTCGTTGGTGGTTCCTCGGACAAGGGCAGTATCATGGGCGACACAAGATCTTCTAGTGAAAGTAGGTTGCCGGGATATGCTAATGCCGACACGCCGTCTGATGCGCGTGAATCGCGGCTAGTGCTTGGAGCGCAATGCAGCTCTTCGCTTGGACATCGAACAGATTAGGGCGCATACATACTTCTGCACTGTGTGAGTTCGATAACTCTGAGCGCTATCGAATTATTGAAACACAACATAGGAATTGGAAGAACGTGACTAACAGGATCGGCAAGGGTTTGAATATAAATTGCGAGCATTTGCCTGCTAAACTGACCTTCACTGTAGCATCACTCGTGTACGACGATGAGGATTCTGACGTTGACTTACGACACTCTGAAGACAACGAGGCTCCTTCAGAAGCACAGAAATCACGCCATACAGAAGATGAACGTCTGACACTAATAGCCGAAGAGCAACTCGTGGATTCGTTCACCCCTCTTCCCCAACGAATAGTAAAAACTAAATCTGCATCTCTCAACACGCATCAAGATACCATTCTGCAGACCCAAAGACGCATCTCTTCACAGAGTGCTCGCTTGGAAATTGTTCCTGAAGTTTCTGATGAAGAGGAATCACTGGTCGCAGGTCGCGTTGAGTCCAGTACGCAAGAATGTGTCCGACGTTCCAGGCAACCCACTGCAGTCGTGGATCTGGGAGGCACTCCAGGAGGTCCATTATCGTTGTGGGATGCTCTTGATTTAGAGATCAACTCTGTTTCCTCTCGTTATTCTAACTCAAGCACGTTCAGTCGTGAGGAGCCACGAGAGAGCTTCGGCATGCTTCGCAAAAGTCGGTCGGTAACCTTTCAAGATCGCGCCCTTTCCACAATATCTATCGCAAGCACCGTCCCTTCCCCGAAATTACATGTCCGAAATAAGCTCCGCAAGAGGATGCGTCCTGCAAGCACCCCTACACTTAGGTCTCCTCACCTTGATCCCCTACTCAAGGAACTTCCCCTTGGCGTCAAACAGATCGGCTATGGCATCGGTTTCAGCCCTACGCAACCCTTTCCTTCTCGCTCAAGGTCGGTTTATCGATCCGCTATCCGTGCATGTCAGAAACTGGTACCAGTCATACGCCGCAAAATCTCTAGGCAATCTCTACCTAAGCGCGAGCAGCACACATCCACGTCAGTAGACTCCAGTAGGGCCCGTGACGCGATGGTAGTGATGCGTGGAATATACGGGCCGACCTGGACGCTTGGCGTGGAGTCCCTATCACCCCCAGCACCCACAGACACTCTTTCTGCCACAACGGATGATTCGGAGGGACCAGTGACCCCAGTGACCCCATTCTTTGATCAAATAATCGGAACAATGCAGCATGAGCCTTCCACCCTTCGCTTAGTACCGTCCTCAGGTCTGCACCCTTCTGTATGATGCCTCGCAATCACGCCGCATTTCATTGATACCTCCTCCCGAAGTTTATGTTTTCCCATTGGTGCAAGTAGATGGCTTTGTCATACCGTTAACACGTGCCTGTACATTATCGTCAATGCAAAATTGATGCAAAACGTATAATTTAACACTTTATTGAGCAAAACGGGTGTAAGAAGAGGTGAGGAGCCCTTTTCCCCGTCATGACGGAGATCTCCGGCCGGGCCAAGTACAGCACAAGGAGCTGGCATTTGGTTAACGTTGTAAACATCATTCAATATTCAATATTCAATATTGGATCAAGTTGCGTCGTGTTTAGTATATGCTTATAGTAGTTTCAAAGTATGCGGCCGCAGATTAGGGTCATGATCACTGACAGAGAATTACATAATTGCTTGCGCTGAAACCACAGGAGTCTCGGACCTACTATTGACTGAGTCTTGAACGATATGCATGTAAGCAAGCCAAATGTACGTAGCTATGACTGACTGTGGTCTTGTAGGCAGCCACCGTGGCCAAGGTGTACTATAGGTGCTATTGTGACTCGCAATGCCAGGAGAAACCGACTACGGGTCCTTCGTGGTGGTCGAACCTCCGGGCCCTAGAACAATTGACATATTTAATTGTGAGCCACGATTTCATTGCATTCTGTCAAATTTAAGAGCAGTGGTGGACCATTTCTCTGGTATGGCAATGAGACGGTCGCTTCATCCACACTAGCTTGAGCTACGTATATAAATAATTGAAGTGTCTCTTTTGCAGACACAACATCCTTACCTTCACTCGGACTCGAAAGCCCGCCATAACTTCAAAGTTCCCTTCCCATTTTGATTTTTTTGGCTAACTCAAATATGAATACAAACCCCAACATGGATCCTCGCGGTATCATGGGGATGGACCGATTCAGGCAAAACCCAATGCGCTCTGTGAATCTTGAGGAGTGGGACGATCGTAACTACAGCCATATATCATTTCAAGAATCCGCACCGGATGCCATCGATGAGCCATGGCCATATAGGTTTCAGGTGACGTTGTATTCTAACTCGTCTCCTTTGTTCTTTTCCTGACGTGCCCACTAGCATGGCGACTATGTTTGGGTCCGCTCTAGAGGCTTGCGTTGGTATCCGGGGCAGGTCCTTGGCCAGCCCAAAGCTGCTCGGACGATCAAGGTGAATATGTTGGTATAACTGTCGGACTGTCCTGCTGACTTGCGACTGGCAGGGTGACGGACTTTTTTGGCTTGTCGATTACAGTAATCAAGGTCATCAATTTCGCAGATTTGTAGCACCTCTCGATGGCGACTTGAAGCCTGATACTCCTCATACAAGGACATTACTGAAGAAAGCAGGCTATTGAGGCCCGGGTGGCTACTCGATGGCTCAGCGATTCATGTCTTTTTGATGACCAACGCTGTATTGTACATGATTATTCCTACTATCTATTCGTTATCATTATGTATCTTACTGTTCCGCCCAGAGTCCTATACCATGTATATAGTAACTAGTCTGCGCTTTTGTGGCGCGCGTGACTGAATTCCCTTTCTAAAAGCGCGTGGTGTGGCTCCTGTCTGCCAACCCCTCCACAACGTCAACATCTTAATCTACGACTTTGACGGAGGATCATCATGACGAAGACGTACTTGATGAACAGCCTCATTGAAAAGGTTAGTTCTCCGGGGTTTACCTACTGGGATCGAATGAGCTCATTGCAATCGCGATTATAGATGCAATCCCCAGACCAGGACTTTCGGTGCGTGATGTTGTCTAGAATATGTTTTATTGGGCGTTCTGAAGTCCTTGATAGTTTTATGGGGCTAAACGACCTGATGGGCGAGATCAAACAGGATCCAGCAAGTTTCATCGGAGACGAGCCTACCGAGACAAAGGTCCTCAAACAGGTACTTTCGTTAGGTGGAAGATAGGATTTCGGAAGTCAAGAATCAGGCTGTTAAGTGGTATGCCCTCCATCTATTATATTGGCTTTTGGAACTCATGCTTTCCATGCGATACCGTGAATTTAGTCTGGGTCAATTGATCAAGATCATCCGCGAAACTCAGATGGAACTTGTAGTTGATAGCCTAATCAACTTTTCCGTTGGGAAGGATGATGAATTGCGTGATATCTCTGGTTTGGGTAGGAACTCAAGGTAGTTGACAAACGTCATAATCTAATATCAAACATTTAGCGTTGAAAACGATTACTTCTGAGTTGCCACTGGAAGGCAAAATTGCTGCCAGAGCATGCGCAAAGCTCGCACCAAAGCTCCTACAGCAAGTTTCAAATGTACGTTGGTTCTGCGGATCTTGGTTCTGTTTTTTGACATGGTTCCTTGTAGACAGCAACCCCGCCGGAGACTTTGATTGAGACATTATCAACGTTATCCATACTCATCACTCGTTTCCCAGCCCACGTATCAGATCCATCCCTTACACCACACCCCCTACCTGCAATAGCTCCTCTTCTTTCACATTCCCGTCCCGCTGTTCGCAAACGTGCTATTCTGACGCTCTCACAATACGTTCCTGTGGCTCCTCCTGTGCTCGTCAACGATCTTTTACAGAACTACATTCTCCCGTTCCTTGTACCCAATGCTAACCTCGAAAAACAGCGCACAACTGTGCATCTGGTTGCTGCTATCATACGGCAGGCGCCGCAGCAGCTCGCATCAGTTTATAACGACATCATACCTGGCCTCCTCAAAGCTGTCCAGAGAGATGATGATGAACTTCGTGAAGGTTGTCTTCAGGTTCGCAAACAGCCTTTTTGCGTCGGCGTTGTCAATTATCATTCATGTTTTATCAGGCTCTTGAGACACTACTCTTGAGGTCTCCGACAGAAGCAGCACCGTTCCTAAGCTCAATAGTACAGATAGGGAGCCAGTTCATCAAGTATGACCCAGTAAGTTATGAGTTCATATCTACATATGTTTTAATCCCATCTGTCTGCAGAACTATGCAGGACCGGATGCCGGCGAGGATGAAGAGATGGCAGATGCGGATGATGAAGACGACGACGACGCTGAACTTGATGAGTAAGTCCTATACGATTGGTTCAATTTTTTTTATTTTGCTCACAATATCTAGGTACTCGGATGATGAAGACACGTCCTACAAGATTCGGCGTGCTTCTACCAAACTTCTAGCTGCTGTGATCACTACTCGCCCTGAGCTTCTTACATCACTGTACAAGGAAGTGTCGCCTGTGCTGATCTCCAGGTTTGGAGACAGGGAGGCAACCGTTCGGCTTGAAGTATGGGCAACCTATGGTGTTCTACTCAACCAAACCAACCTGTATGGCAGCCTACTACAAACTCAAGAGAACGATACTGCCATCAGGAAGAGGAAAAGAGATGGTGAAGAAAGAATGGATGTCGAGGAAACGCCACATACCCTTCTGCGCTCACAGGTTTCTTCATTATCCAAGGCCTTGCTCCAGCAACTCAAGTCTCCGAAGACTCCACCAGCGATGCTCCAGGCAGGCTTCCAGCTTCTACACGCTCTGCTTGGCGTCCTTCCTGGTTCTCTCTCCAATCAAATCGCGCCCATTGCCGCAATTTCTCAGTGTGTAATGTCTCAGTCGCCAACAACTTCGACCTCGGCCCTTCATCTCACATGTCTCTCATTCATTGCATTGTATTTCGCAACGCATGCTCCTGGCACGTTTTCTGCATCACTTCCTACTCTGTCGCCTGTTCTTTTGAAGTCTGCTGGAGAGAAACACCCTCGAGTTGCTTCCGAAGCCTTCCGAGTCTTTTCTGCTTTACTCAATTCCATGAGGCCCGTAAAAAATGGCGATTGGCCCGAGCGCCTGTACGACCAAGCTTTTCAGCGTCTTAGCACTCACGATACAGACGCCGAGGTTCGCGGATGCGCTGAGGACTGCATTGCGGACCTATGGATTTGCGCTCCGGATATCATCAAAGCGAAAAGCGGCAAAGAATGGCAAGCCATATGTCGGACAACGGGTAATACGGGAGGAGCCGTCAGAGTAGTCACGAAGGTTGCGAGGGACGTGGAAATGAGTGATGAATGGGTGAACAGTTGTGTCGAATGGATCATGGGTCTACTAAAGAAGAGTGAGAGGGGAGGCAAGCCAGAGATTTTCATCGCCCTCGATACTCTTCTAAACAGGTCAGTCCATCTCTTGGTGATCTGGAAGTAGCCTGATTTTGTCCAGATATTCGTCTGGCATTCCCACCGATCTGCCACCCACTTTGGTCCCCCAGATCAGACCATACGTATCGACGACAGACATTTCCTTACTGTCCCATTCATTGACTATCATTGCGGTATTACTCGACCTATCTCCGGCCGCTACTTTCCCTGAAGTTGAGCGTGAGCTCCTTGGCGATATCTATCAGATTGCACATTCGCCTCTCGTCTCAGGAGCCGCACTTGATGCACTTCTAACGTTCTTTTCTTCGTTGGTGCAGGCTGATAGTCAGATTGCAACCCATGTTGTCCCCGACTTGGCGACTTCAGCGGAAGAGGCCAACAAGTCGGACGCCAATCTAGCCAACGTCGCCAAATGTATTGGTCAAGTTGTCCAGAGTGCTCAGGGAGTGGCAGCAGGAACCATCGCGGTTTACTCCAAGCATATAAATGTCAGTCTATGCATGATCATCTAGCAAATCTCTCACATCACGCTACTTCTAGAAATCTTCCAAGTCAAAATCCACCACTTCCGTTGTGGTGTTAAGTCTACTGATTGTCGGGGAAATTGGCCGTTTCATGTATGTCAGATGTTCCGTGTCTACATTCCGTGGATAACCTTGCAACAGTGATATGTCAAAGCAACAAGATACGTTTAATAATACCATCGAACATTTCGCAGCAGAAGAAGAGGAGATTCGTGCTGCTGCTGCATTCGCTGCTGGTAAGTAAAGTCCACGTGTTAACTGGATACATGGATTGATGTACCTAGGAAACATTGCTATCGGAAATCTTCATCAATTCTTGCCTGCAATTCTCAGGGTTGCAGAGAGCGATCCGCACAAGAAGCTGTTGTCGTTGCATGCATTGAAGGAGGTCTGAAAACCAGTCCTTTGTGTCAATTTATAGTCTGAAAATCAGTCTAGGTCGTGACGCATTGCTCGCATGGGCAGCTTGAAGGTGTTGCAGAGCAGCTCTGGGTACCCCTCTTTCAATACTCGGAGGATGCGGAGGACAGTACACGCAATGTCGCTGCTGCCTGTCTGGGGAAACTTACCACAACGCATCCCTCGCGGTATCTCCCGCAACTTCACTCTCGCATCCACGACGAGAACCCAGCAGCACGCGCTACTGTGGTATCTGCCATCCGGCATACGCTCGCGGAGTCGTCTCCGTCATACGACGATCTTTTGGCATCGCTCATCATGGACTTCTTGGAATTGATGCATGACCAGGATTTGGTACACCGGTTGCTCTAACCACTTTGAAGTTCCTGACACAAATTGCACAGAATGTCCGCCGTCTTGCGTTGTCTGCTTTCAACTCTGCGGCAAGAACAAAGCCCCACCTCATCCGCGATCACCTTCCAACTCTGCTCCCGAGCCTCTATGCAGAGACAAAAGTCAACCCCGATCTCATCCGTACGGTCCAAATGGGACCCTGGACACACAAGGTCGACGACGGCCTCGATGCGCGCAAGACCGCATGGGAGACACTGTATACCCTTGTAAGCTTTTGTCACGCCCGTGTTCTCCCAACACTGATGGTCATATGCGCCCCTAGCTCGATACCTGCCTTAGCAAATTAGACCTGACGATCTTCCTCTCGCACTTGCTTGCAGCCATCAGCGATCCGTCGGATGAGATCAAAGTGATCGGGCACATGCTTCTCGTGCGGCTCTCAGCATCTCCGACAACATCTCTTGCACTTGCACAGCGACTCGACGAACTTACCCCCCATCTTGAATTGACGATGCGCGGCGCGGCCGTCACTAAAGACACAGTGAAGCAGGATATTGAACGCGCGGCGGAGTTACGGAGGAGCACGATGCGTGCTGTCGCTGCCCTCAGCAAGATCGACAGTGCGGGCAGCGCGCCGAAATTCGATGCCTTTGTGGAAGAATCCCGGAAGAATGATCAATGGGGCCCAGAATTCAGGGAGTTGCTGGGACATTGAAGGATCCACTACGCAAGCAATGAAGGTTCTGTTTATTTGTCAAAGCTCTCATAGGCAAAGCACGACCGTTCTTCCTCTCTAGTACAATTAGGATATCTGTCTAGTCAGGCTACGTCTCCTAGTCCATGATATGGGGTAGTTACTTGAGTCTACATACTTACAAACCTGCATCTGGAGCTCCTTGTTGCATAAGAATGTGTTTCACCCAGTAAAATCTTATGAGGAATGAAAAAGGCTCCTATGACCCAATCAATCCTTTCATCCTCTTCCAAATGAGAGCCGCAGCCTCCTTTCTCTCTCTCGTGGCACCCCCTGTTCCGAGGACGCTCTTGTTCTCGACCGCCCGACGAGAAAGGTAGGGCATAACCTGGACATGACGCGTGGTAAGAATCATCCTTGACACCAGAAACTCCAATAGCGCAAAAGAAAATCACAGTGATGCAGAAAGGCCGGTCCCGAAGCTCATGAAAGTGAAAATAAAGGAACTTGCCTCCACCAGCGCGCCGTACGGGACGTGTTTCACCACACACGGTGCCTCGCATCGCGTCCGTCCGACGAGGTGGTTCGTCAGCGCGTCGGACATTCCTACATGTCAGACAGTGAGCCTCGTGCCACATAAGACAGAAAGTAAGCAAGAAGACGAAGGATAAACGTACCATACAGCTGCCCAAATGTAATTCTCTCGCCGACCTCAGGCGGGATACGCACCACGTCTTCCTCAAGCACCCCATCGACACCGGCACACCCAACAACTCCCAGGCTCTTCTTAACAAGTTCCTCAAGGACAAACTCGCACGAGGTCCAGTTATGCGTACCAAAAACGACACCGATACCTGGTGCACCGGATCGGCCGGAGCGGTGGAGATCGCGAGAGATCGCGTCGACCAACAAGGTTGCACAGTCGTGATAGCACTGGTCCGTCGCATCCTTCGAGGGTTGGACAGGGGGTTCGGGATCGGGAGATATGGAGAGTGTGTGTGAGTGATGTGATGAATAGGATCCAGCTGGAGAGGTGGATGAACGAGCCAGCTGATGGGCAGCGAGTTCCTGCGGGTGATAAGCCCCCCGGACAAGTTTCACTCCGAGTGCATAGCCTCTCTCACGGGCCAGCGCTAGGGAGTGCGTGAGGTGCGCGGGCATGCTGTAATTTGCGCGTGAGCACACTTGATCATTTGCGTGGATCCAAATACTGACCGCCGTAAATAGGCTTGGTAGGTCACGTACACGAGGGGCTGCACTCTGACATGCGCAGCTTCCTTCGGTGATGGAGAGGATATCCACGAAGAAACGTCCCACCATGCCCGCTGGAAGCCACCGGAGGGGAGCTTGTTGAATCGCTCCATCATTGCGTGTCCAAATGCGTCGATCGCGGGTTGGTACCAACTACAATATGGAGAGACAAGTTAGCGTGCGATATAACGGGCAGAACAAGAAAATCTTAGATCAGATATAAAGTCGAGCGGCTCACGAAAAGACAAAAAGTAGTCGAAGAACTTGGGACACACCTATGCTCTGCATCAATGATAACTCTTACTCCGCGTTCTCGAGCACATGTACAAATCTGCACAAGGTCATTGTATAGCTCTTTCAGGTCATGGATATCAGCTTCCGTTAATGCTCCTGTGGGTATAGAGGAATGCAAAACAGATAAATCAGATGGGGAAGGAGTCCCTGGGAAGAGTACCGGCGGTTCAAGTGGTGCTCGGGTATGTGTGAGGTATGTGGACAGGTTGATCAAAGACTGTGCATTTGGAAGCAGAGCAGTCTGGAAGACCATGATGAGTAAGTATTGTGCTCTTCATGCAATACTGATCTGACAACTCACAACTTTCACGGCAACCCAAGTCCGCCTCCCTACGCGTCCACTCTGTGGGGTATCCCTTCCGTCCTCGAAGTCGGCGGCAACGTCAATACTCCTGATCATTTCCTTTACGATACGCTTGTGTACAGGCTCCTTTTCTACCTTCGCATGATCCACCGCCTCCTTTTCGTCGACTTCAACACTGTAACCAAAGAGAGCACCTTTCTTCTCTGCGCGGAGAGATACAAGTAGTGGTAGTACACCATGGGCAGTTTCTGCACCAACAAACTACCGATCCAGTCATGCCTCCGCATTATAAAGAGAGACATAAAATAAATGTACCTGGTGGAAGAAAGTGGTTCTTACGAAACTTTCCACTATCTTATTCACTCCAGGGATACCGAACAAGACGTCCAATATTGTCGGTGCCGCATCAACGAGGGGAGTAACACTGCACATCCCATACACGACATACGCACGCACCAAATCCGACAGTGTGCGCGTGTCGGAAGACGCTGGTGTGGTACCCGAAACATCGGCGTAAAATGCGTAGCCCAGCGCGGAGGTAGTTAATGCGCTGGAAAGCACCAGCACGCGGCTCAGTCGTCTGGGGCGTAGAGGTGGAGCAGTGGAGAAAGGTCGAGTGCGAATAAAGAAACGGAGCGCACGACTGGGAACGACCAAGCTCATCATAGATGAGTAACAAGACGTGCTTGAGGTCGGTACGGGAACTTTATAGAGGCGAGTTCCGTCCGGTGATCAGCATGTGGATAACTGACGGGCGGAACACCAATCAAGTAACACTGGTACCACGGCATGTTAGCAAAACACTTATCGTAAGTTATCACATGTGCCTCCAGGGCATTGAAGACTATGAACTTTCGTTACGTTGATGACAAGAAAGGAAACTGCTATAAACCATCATTGAGTCAGCTACTTATGTAACAAAGTTCTGTGAGGCGCTTGCTCGAAACCTTTGATAAGTACTAACCATTGAATCACAGAGCACTAAGTAAATATTTCAGCAACCAGCCATGAATACTGCACGTTCTTATGAACCCTTATCAACGCGTCCTGGAACTGGGCAGTCGCGTCCTTATACACGGCAGTCGCGTCCAACCAGTACATCCCGACCGTGGACTGCCCAGTCACGTCCTGGGACGGCGCGTCCCCAAACCGCCGCTTCCACTATGCACGATGCCAGTTATATTATCGCCCTCATCGAAAGTCGAGGCATCGCTCACGAAGTGGGTATGGCCGCTCTTGATAAAGATACGGGTAGAGTCATGCTCATTCAGGTAAGGGCCTGTATTCAGCTAATCCATGGTAATTAACACCCATATGCTAATTAGCTCTCGGACTGTTCCACGTATGTTAAGACGCTACACCAGATGCATGTGCATCCGCCATCTGTGATACTCGTGCCCGATACATTTATATCCTCAACGAACGCAAGCCTCACTTCGTCTGCATCTGCCAAGCGAGGACCTTCATCGTCATCGCTGTCGGTACAGTTCATCAGGGAGGAGTTTCCTCAAGTCCCCATTGAACCGGTACCAAGAAAATACTGGAATGATAGCGCTGGTCAGTCGAGAATACATTTCCCCCCCATCTATGCGCTTATGCATTGTATAGGCTATCAGTTTATCGCTCAGTTCTGTGTTGAAGACGATGAGCGTGCGGCCACACTGGTTTCAGTCACAGACAAGTTGTCATATGTGCATATATGCGCGTCTGGTTGTCTGATTGCTAGTATGCAGATACTATACACTCTCGGCCGCATGCGCTCTCTTCAAATTTGTGGAAACACGCCTCAACACCCGCTTTTCTGCGTGTTCCCTTCGTATACGTTACATTCCTGTTGAGGGCACGATGATGATAGACCCTGAGACTGTTAGGAATCTGGAACTGATCAACAATCAGACCCGCAAGAAATCCACCCATTCTCTCTTTGGGTATCTGGTATCCTTTCTTCGGTTGCTCATGGTTAACGCCCTCTAGGGTCCTTAACCACACTTACACTGCAATGGCCACACGACTTCTGCGAACGAATATACTGGCACCCCTGATAGGCAAGTGCTTGAGCTATAGATCCTCATTGAGCTGATTTCACATAACGCATGTAGCCCAAAACGCTTTGGATGCCCGCCTAGACGCTGTGGAAGGTCGGACGATGTCGAAACTCTATTTCAATTACTGACTTCTACATGACCATAGAGCTAATTCACAGCGAAGATAAATTTACGGAGATCAAGGATGCCTTGAAAACCTTGAACAAGATGGACTTTGACAAACTCATCTCATCGGTAAGCGCTACCTCGTGGTCTGGACGCGGAAATAACGTCCAGTCATAGCTTGGGTTTTCTGAAGTTCGGCCAACAACAACAGCAAAAGGAGCTTTCTCCCGCGTCTCGCAGATGCTCAACTTGCGCACTGCCGTCCGAAGCCTTCCATTTTTGCAGACAGCTTTGAGTGGATGCAAGTCTCAGCTGCTGCTGGTAATATACGACGTAAGGCCTGCACTGCGGTATCAAATTTACAACTCCTTATGCCGCTACTTGGATGTAGATACTGTCTGACGAACGACTGACCAAGATCGAGGAGCTCGTCGCAGAAAACCTTAATGATGATGCAGGATCAGTCAAGGTAATCGGAATATGTTTTTGTCGACGCTGTCTAAATGTATTCTTTTCAGGGAGGGATTGGTGCGATCAATGCAAGGGTATTCGCAGTTAAGGTACGTTGCGATCCATAGGTTTTTACAAGATGCTCAATTGTTGCAGGCCAACCGCAATCGTCTCTTGGATGTTGCTCGCGAAACTTTCAAAGAAAATGTCACAGACATATACCAGCTCAACCACACCCTAAGCGAACAACATTCCCTGCAGCTTAGCCTCGTTTACCAAGATAGTGGCTTCGTGTTCACTATCAAGAAGGATGAACTCGAGGACGAGCTGCCGAAGGGATTCATCAACGTTTCTGCGCAAAAGGGTCGTTGGTTGTTCTCGAGCATAGATCTAGTGAGATATAATGATGGAAAAGGCTATATATGCCTTATATTCTAATATCGGATGACAGAAAAAAATGAACGCTCGAATGAAAGACTCGTTGGAGGAGACGCTGGTCCTAAGCGACAGGTATGTTTTCGTTGTGACTCGATCGCGGATTATTCCTAGGTTGATAACATGTAAAGGATTATCCAGGATGTGGTAGGCGAGATTGTAGCGTTTTCGGGAGTGCTATACTCTGCGTCGGAAGCGGTAATGTCATCCCCAGTCAATTTTTTAGCGTTGTAACGCCGAGTTTAGGTTGCAACCATTGACTTGTTATGGTCTTTTGCTCATGTCTCCATCAGTTCGTCAATCCAATTTTTGTGCTTACTATCTTCTTCTAATGACACGTTCAAAGTGCGAAGATATGGTAGAGTACATACTCCTTTCTTTCCGACGCCACCAACTCTTGTGTTAGTGCGTCCCGAGTTCACCGATACCTTGGCGATCAAGAGTGGTCGTCATCCAGTTCTTGAGACTGTTCAAGCTGCTGGAATGGTTGTTTCAAATGATATTTATTGCAGCGACGCCGCCCACTTTCACATTGTTCAGGGACCAAAGTGCGTATTATGAATTATTTATCATCTAGATGTACAGACGTCCATACTCTTCAACAGCATGTCAGGTATATTTTTTATCTGCATTCGTCCCATCGATCATTCTCAGCGTTTCCACAAGGTAAAAGCACATATCTGCGTCAAACGGGCCTTCTCACTGTGATGGCGATGGTCGGTTGTTTTGTCCCTGCTGCCTATGCAAGCTTTCGGTGGGTCGCGGTTGATGATTCTAATCAAACCTTGATGCGCTCATTCTCTCAAGCCTGCATGACTCTTTACTTACTCGGCTCTCCAATGACGACGATATGGAGAAGAGCCTCAGCACGTTTGCAAATGAAATGACTTCCTCTGCTATGATTATAGGTCTGAATGCATAAATTTATGTCACTCGTACTGAATTTGTTCAGGAATTGCGACTTCGAAAACACTGGTACTTATCGACGAGCTGGGTCGAGGAACTGCCCCTATTGAGGGTCTTGGTATCGCACATGCTATTGCAGAGGAACTCATCAGATTGAAAGTAAGCGCAGTCGCTCCCGCATTGTCTTTTTTATTCTGACGAGAGTATCAGTGTTTTGTTCTCTTTGCTACGTGAGTATGCGACTTCTAGGTTGACTCGCGTGTTAACAAGATGAACAGTCATTTTCACGAGTTATCGACCACCCTTTCTCGTCAGCCTACCGTGGTGAAGTGAGTGTTCACTACCTGTTAACCGATGACGCATGACGAACGTATCCAGTTTGCATCTGTCTGTTCAGGTGCCCTCAAATCTCTTTCGAATGTAGCTTCTTTACAGATTACCGTCCAGCGTTCGCTTCCATCGGCCTCTAACTTCGGCTTGACATTTCAGTACAAGTAAACCCAAAAGATTGTACATGGTGCATAATGTGCAGCTGACGACACAATTATAGGATACTTGACGGAGTCCCAGAGAATATAGGCCACTATGGTGAGTCCCAGACAACAGATGGACGGAGAAGGCATTTGGACAAGTCTCGATCAGGACTGGAACTAGCCAAGTTAGCTGACCTCCCCGACGACGTGGTCTCGGAAGCGAGACGAGTGTCTGAGATCATTACTGAAAAAAACCTGCGTTGCGAGGAGGAAAGTAGCATAAACATCTTGACCATCCGCCGGCGTGCACTTCTGAAGGTATCGTCAATCACCTTCCTGAATACTCCTAGTCCTGAATGTTGGCTATATCCTCAGCTTCATTCACAGTTGAACCAGGCGTTGGACCATTCTGCGCTTCCTGAGGAGGAACTAGTCGGATATCTGGCACGGCTGCAGAGAGATTTCATGAAGACTCTGAAAGACACCCTTTGATGTTCGCTGCAAAACGGATTCGGGACGGTGCTTGACTCAGCAATATACGAAGGTGACGTTGCGGACTCCTTACCTGCTTGCTTAAGCTTGAAGAGACGAAACGAGAAGTGCCAGGCGCCATTCAAACATCCATTTTCTCATGTCCCCTGCAGGCACTCTCGATATGTTGAACGATTCTCATGTTCTTACCAGTTGCTTCTAAAATGTTTTTGACACCGAACTTTTTCCGTGTGTGGTGTGTAATCGACAAGTGCCACTTCGGAGTTGTCATCGTAGAGTGATGCTGCCATAATAGTTTTGTTGTTCCAATCAGTAATGTGCAGGTTGATGCATAGTACGACTTTCGACACCTCGACCCAGCTGAATATTCAAATATTCAAGCTCAAGAGTCCCCAAAGAGTTGCATTGAATGTCTGCATGCCTAGTTTCGACCTAGTGATAAGTTGGAAGTCCGACTGTGCTCTAGGGTACATGTACACTGGCTCCGCGAATATGCGCGGAAGCATTTCCTTCTGCCGCATCATGGCATATCGCCAGATATCGACGCCTCTGGACGCCTGACAGCAGCTTCTCCTGGTTCTGAGTGGGCCGAGGCTCACTTGGTGATCAAAGCTTACACTGCGAATATACTAGTCAAGGCTTCAAAAGGCTCGCCAACTTGAAGTTATCGAAAACGCGTATAAGTTATACTTTAATATTCCAGGGGATCGACTGGTGTTCCGCTTTTATTGGGGAATGCTGCTTCATAGGATTCTCAGCACACACAATCAGCGGCGCTAGCACGTGTCTTATCCCGGGCACCGGAGGGACTCAAAATGGTACAACCCTGCCTGCGCCTTGCTTCTGCAATATTTCTCATAACTTTGACGTTGATCTGGTATGCCATATACTAATAGCCTTTAAGACTCACGCTTCTCCAGGGCATTCTCAAAATGAGCTTGGGATTTGCGCTGGTGGATGTGCGTACACGACGTAGCAAAATTCCCTCCGGTTCATGATAAGATAAGGGCCGAATTCCCTCACGTTTGGTAACGTGTGCAAACCGGTACCGGTCACGGTCAGGCAACACCTGGCTGTCCGAGAATATGATTTGGCACGTTTTCATTTGGTTAGCCCCGCGTCAGAGTCGTGTCATATCTAGCTATGGTTGGCCTCAAGCATGCGCGCCTTCCCTCACTCTTTCATCGCTTCCCCGCTTTCGTCCTTCAACTCTCTCCATCACCCAGTACCACGATAGTATCTCATGGGCAATTGCGTCTCCCGTTCTCAACAACCCTTCACAGCCTCCTGTAGTTCGTCTGCTGAGAAGAATTTAGGAAATGGCATTCTAGATGGTCTGCCTATTGCGGAGCCAACAACATCGTTTTGGACAATCCCTGCAGCTCCCGTAGCAACACACCAGTCGCAGGAGAACCTGCCATCCCATGCAGACGTCGGTAAGCATGCTTTATACCTATTTGGAGGTTGCCAGCTGAATACCTGACGGTAGTTATTATTGGATCTGGTATATCGGGCGCCTCTTTTGCGCGAACCCTGCTTGAGCACGGAAACAGTCTTCATGTTGTCATGCTCGAAGCCCAAGATGCTTGTTCAGGGGCCACTGGCAGGTGAGCAATGAGCGCCCATTTCGCTTAGATCGTTGAGGCGATATTAGGGTCTTGCACAGAAACGGGGGACATATTTTTGCCGCTACATATCATGACTATGAATACCTGAAGAAACGTGTGAGTGAAGACATGGCAAAGAAGATGATGCGCTTCCGGAAGGCGCACTTGGATGAGATTCTGGCCGTTGCTGCAGAGGAAGGTATCACAGAGTATACACAGTGCCGTGCCGTCGAGGGTGTCGATGTATACTTCGATAAGCCTACATTTAGAGAGGCACAGCGGAAGCTGCAAGTATATCAGCGTGATATGGGTGAATATGCAGGTTCATATACCTGCTACGAGGGCTTAAGCGCCCAAGAGGTACGTTTGAGGATAATATCGTGACCTCTGACTGACAGCGTGGCAGAAATACCATCTTTCGCCACTTGCGGTGGGATGTATTGCCACAAGGGCCGGTGCCATACATCCATATCGTTTCGTGACGTCAATTTTAAGCCGCCTTCTTACAGATTACCCCAAGGAGTAAGTTTTTGACTTCGACTGTCACCTGAAATAGTATCTAATGCTATTTAGATTTGAACTTCACACCCGCGCACCTTGCACCTCGATCGATGAACCCACATCAAGTCGTCCGTTTTATAAACTTACTACAGCACGAGGGGTAATTACGACCCCACATATTGTGCATCTCACAAACGCGTACGCACCTGCCCTCCTGCCCTCTCTCAAGGGAGCTATCTACCCCATCCGAGAAACCATGACCGCACAACGGCCTGGTCGTAATCTCCATGCAAGCACACTGCATGGCAGGCGGAGCTTCGTGTTCTTCGACAGCCCACGCAAGGGTTTTGACTACTTGACACAGCTCCCAGAAGGCGAACACGAACTCATGTTCGGTGCAGGCTTTGAATCGCGCACGGATGGTGGAGCTGATGGCATGTATGGCGTACATAGCGCAGCGCATGTAGGCGGTGCAATGCCAATCTATTTCGGAGCGGAGAGCTGGGGTGCCGAGGCCTTACCAACCACTCCCGCAGATGAAAAAGATGTCGGTGTAGGGTCATGGGCAGAGGGACGAGTGAAGGCGATTTGGAGTGGTCTGTTGAGCGAGTCCGCGGATGGGATGCCGTGGGTTGGACAGGTTCATGTTAATGTGGCCGGTAGGAAGGCACCTCCTGCTTCGTCTGCACCCTCTGCTCTGATAGATCCTCGTTCAAATACGGAGAAGCCGAAGTCAGTTGCCACTGCCGCTCCTGGTGAGTGGATTGCGGCTGGCTACTCTGGCGAGGGGATGGTGCATGCATGGCTTAGTTCCAAGGCCGTCGCACTGATGCTTCTCGGCGAGGATCTCACTGAGGTGAAGACTTGGCTACCCGAGCTCTTCAGCGTTACGGAAGAGAGAGTCAAGATGGCCAAGCGGACTTTCAAGCCTGACGTCGTGCTGAGCGGCAAGAGGCGTGTTTTCAGTCTGTAATAATACTATTACCTATGTCTAGGCACTCTTACTACCACTTATGATTCTAGTGTATAATATTTTCATGTGTGTGCGTGTAGTTTTGTTGGCTTGCAACTGGTTTACATTAGTTTTCTGAAAACCTCGTCGATTGCTGTAATACTTGGTCAGACCTGGATCTCTGACTGCACTGGCCAGGGTCGTGGGCTCGGATGATGCCCTCGAATTCTCTAGTGCTGAAAGTACTGAATCTAATGTGATCCATTGATGCAGACACCTCTAGACACTGACCTCGTAATTTTACACACGGACCTCCCCGTCCATAAAATGACATTACTGACTTTGCCACTTCATTCCAGACTTGACACTGTGGAAATGCTTAAGACAACCAACTACTATGTGTATTGACCAGTCCATCAGACCGCGATTCTACATTAATCAATCTACCAATACACCACCAGCAAGAAAAAAATCACTACAGATCAATCAACAGTTCCTCTCGTCGCTCCGGAACCGTCGTAGGCGCAGATGGCGCGTACAGTTCAAACGACTGCGGTGCTGCCGTTGGGGCGGAGGGGAACTGCGGAAGCTGTGGTTGTAAGGGCTGCTTGTACTGAACACGCGACGCGTGCGATACAGTGCTTGAGCGCGTGAGTGGGGCGGGTGGCGGGGATACTGCGGTGCGTGCGGACACGGTGTTGTGCCGTCCGAGGGCTGGCGTTTGTGGGGTAAGGGCTTGAGTTATGGGTTGAAGTGCGGGTGCTGGTGGTGGTTGAGACGGTGCGGGATGAGCGTTAGCGAACTGGGGTATTGATATTGGTTGGTGGACCGGAATCGTGGGGGGAGCGGGTGGTGAGGCGAAGGGGCCCGTGGAATACTGTGATGGCCCGGGAACTTCAGAATTGTGTTGCGATGGTCCTGCAGTGTAGTGAGCATACTGAGGCTCTGACTCGGGGACAGTAGATAATGTGGGTCGGGAGATAAGAGGCTGTGGGGCGTATTGTGCAGAGTCGGTCCGTGGTAGCGCAAAAACCGGAGAGGATACGGAAGATGCATTATGATGGGAAGGCGCCCACTGACTGTAACCGTTGACGGGAGTTTGTGTTGATTGACGCATTGGCAAAGTTGCGGGGCGGGTCTGCTGGGGAGAACGCCGCCATGCAGGATGTGAGACCTGCTCTGTCAGCAGCTTGTCGTAGAGCTTGACGGCTTGCGAAAGCTTTTCATGCATCTCCGATAGCAATTCTACACGCAAGGATCAGTAATGTTCACATGGATTTCCGTGCATGTTGACATACGTTCTTTGCGGTCGGTATCATCTAGACTCATTGCCAGCTTGGGGCGGAGCCCATTTGCCTTGTCAAACAGTTCGTTGACAGCAGGATACCGCGACATGTCGCGTCCCCCTTGAGTTTGGACCTGCTCCACTGTTTGGCTGAATGTAAGAATCGCGTCAGTCTCCAAGGGCTCGAGATCATAACTGGTAAGCTTCGGCACTGGTGGGGCAGGCGTGACGGCGGGCGGATACGATTGAGACGTGGCATACGCGTTGTTGTATGAATAAGTGCCTGAAACCTCCACAGGTGCGCTCGGTTTCGCAGCGCTAGCCTCGCGAAGACTTGCTTCAATGGCTGCACGGAGGTCGGGGTCATCCTCCTCTGCGTCAGTAACTTTGCGATCGGGGTGCGTCTTCTTGTCAACGAGAGGAGGTTCGGAAGCTTGCCAGTTATATGCGGAAGGTTGAGCAGGGACATAACCGGGCCTGCGTCCGGGAGCAGCACCGGACTCCTCGAGAGAGAGCTGAATAGCGCGTTGGAGCTCGGCATCTGCGAGATCACGCGGACTGCTGTGGCGTGGGCTATACATACTTGCAGAATGGCGGTGTCCTTTGTCACTGTAGGGAGGGCAGCACATTAGAACGGCGTATGGATGGAAGGGCACATATATACCTCTTCTCAGCCTTTTTCTGTAATTTATTGTGGCATCCGTCGCATACCCTAACAGCCTGGGTGATGCCAAAGTGAGGTAGCGGTATGGATTTGGATGAACATTGTTGGTCGAAAACCTGTCCACAATTTCGGCAATGATGTTTCCGGTTGGTAAATGTAAAGGGAGTGCGACATCGCAGACACAACTCGGAATCTATCCATTCTGGAGCTGTTGAGGTGTCGACCATGGCAGAGTTCGCCAGGGCAAAGTCCTTTGGGGGGAATTGATATGCTGTGCAACAAGTGTGAAACACGGTGATGACAGATCGACTGAATGCACACCTTCACTCTTGAGAGTCTTATAGACCTGACCAACGTAGCTAAGACTGGGCTTGCCTTCAAAGGCCAAGGACCAGTTCTGTATATATTTCAAGATATCATTCTTGACGGAATTATTTAGACCAGGCATCTTGAGGATGGAAACCAGGTTATCCATGAACTCCCGTGAGGCCAACTCAGCCAAGAAATGATCGCCGCCATTCTTGACACAAATGTCTGTCAACTGTGGAACCGGAATCAGAGTGTGGCGCAGAGACGGGAATGATATTGGCTTACGCCGAGTGTGAGGAGTTGGACGTTAGGATTCTTATGATTAAGGCGGCGTTTGAGAGCACGCATGGCGTCCTTTGCGGGTGCAGACTTGGAGCGTATCTGGTCACATATCTCGAGATTGAGAGCGACATCCTCTGAGCCATTCGGTATGAGCTCCGAGGTAGCCTTGTCTAGACGGTTAAGGATGAGTTCTAGCACATAAATATTACTTGGCGTGCTCACCAACGGCCTCGTCGAGCTGTGAAGTTCCCCACAACCAGCTGCTAATCGATGCCATGTAGAACGAGCACCGTGGAAGTAAGTAAGATAGTCGAGTGGAATGTCTAATGAGTTCGCGCCAGCTGCGCACAGCTTAGACTGATGCCATGATGACCCGATGACAAAGCAGCCGCGAATTTCGCACTCCGATCACCAAATATTTAAGTGCCTCGGTGCGCCGTGGTGGACAGTCAAGCACCCGAAACTCAGTAGAACACAAAGTACTCTCTGTATAATTTTTTCATGGCCCCAGCCTGGGTTTGCAGAATATTTTGGGTGACACATGGCTGGAGACGATATGATGCGTGACTAAAAGTGTGACTGCGTGACTCGGGGCCGGACGCAGCTGAATTGGAGCGGAGTTGGAACGTGGGACTCATCCACAGGTTGTTCTCAACAACCATCTCGCCGTCTTCAAAGGTCCTGTTTTCTGCTCTGCAGCAGCTCCCGACGACTTTACCGACACTCCCGCCAGTTGCACGGTTTGCCGGGTCCTGTTTGACCTGTTTTTGTGCCGTTTTTGCGTCTTTTTTGTTACTTTTTACCTGGCATTCGTGGTTCCTATCAACCCACCAAAAAAAAGTGGTCAAAATCCCACCATTTCCTTTACAATCGCATTTACGACACCGCAATCGCGTTAATTCACGTCCTGGACTACTTTCAACTCCATTTTCCTACCTTGTCGCCGCATTCCTGATTTTTACGCGTTTTCATTTCCATTCCTCCCTTTACTGTTTTTGCAATCATGTTGGGCCACCAGTTCGCGTATTCGGCCGCTCCCATCCGCAAAGTGAAGGAGGTTCAGTTTGGCATATTGTCCCCAGAGGAAATTGTGCGTCGCGACCTCATCTCTCCCTTGCTGTACTAACTAGTAATCTCAATCATGTAGAAAGCGTACTCAGTGGCAAAGGTGGAGCATCCAGAGGTCATGGACGAGACAACGCACAAACCTAAGATGGGCGGTTTAATGGACCCTCGCATGGGCACTATCGACCGAAATTTCAAGTGTCAAACATGTGGAGAGGGAATGTCAGAATGTCCTGGTCATTTTGGCCATATCGAGTTGGCGAGGCCGGTCTTTCACCCAGGTGTGTTATCGAACCTGTCTTTGTCTCAGCGTTCGACATTCATCTGGTTATTCAGGTTTCATCATTAAAGTGAAGAAGATCCTGGAATGTATCTGTGTAAATTGTGGAAAGCTAAAAGCCGATATCGTGAGTTGAATTTCGTTCCTCTACTCGTTTCGCACCCCACCACCCAATTTTCTGGGGGCTCTCTCCATAATCCATTGGAGAACCCCAAACCCGCACCGCGGCAGTACCTCGAAATAAACGAGGCGTTTGACCCCCTGCGGCGTGGTCTGCGCGCGTTTTCGATCGCTTGATCGCCGCGTGGACTATTGCAAACGCCCAGTGATGGTTGGACACGAGGTGCGCGGTGAAATGGGGCGCTGAACGAGGAGTGCGAAAAATCGTAGTCCAGCTAGTGCTAAAGGCACCGTACTGGACTCGGCTTTGGTGGCCCCCTCCCTGTGACGCGGGAAGAGGGCCTACCAATGGCCGACATATATGCCAAATCATGTCGGCTGCCTCCTTGTGATGCATTGGAATCTCTTAGATAATATTTCTATTTCCGTCGACGTTGATGCTGACGTTTACATTCCATGTGCTTCCTAATCTGTTCGTTCAATGTCATTGTCGTTCATTAGTCCGATCCCAATTTCGCCGACAAGATCCGGCATATTCGCGATCCGAAGGCGCGCATGGCCGTTGTATGGGCGCACTGCAAGACCAAGATGGTCTGTGAGACTGACGAGCCCAAGGAAGATGGTGCTGAAGGAGATGCGGATGAACCCAAGAAAGGTCACGGTGGATGCGGTCATGGACAACCGCAGATCAGGAAAGAAGGCTTGAAGCTGTTTGTCCAGTACAAAAGACCCAAAGATGAGGACGAGGTTGGTATAATGCAGCATTACTGAATGCTGTTACTGACCAGTTTTCAGGATGTGAAGTCGATGCAGCCCGACAAGCGGCTAATTACACCGTCTGAGGTTTACACGACATTCAAGAAGATGTCCGATTCCGACCTTCATCTCATCGGTCTTTCGGATGAGTACGCTCGTCCTGAATGGATGATTCTCACCGTGATGCCTGTTCCGCCTCCTCCCGTCCGCCCAAGTATAGCTGTCGATGGTGGTGCCATGCGGAGCGAAGATGACTTGACGTACAAGCTCGGTGAGATTATTAAGGCGTCCGCACATGTACGGCGTTGTGAGCAGGAGGGTGCGCCTGCACATGTCATTAGCGAGCATGAGCATCTGCTCCAGGCAAGTATCGTGAGACAATCCAAGTGCACCTATTGACTGTCTGGTTGTAGTTCCACGTTGCCACCTATATGGATAACGACATCGCTGGTATTCCTCAAGCGTTGCAGAAGTCTGGCCGTCCGGTGAAGGCTATCCGTGCACGACTAAAGGGGAAAGAGGGGCGTCTGCGTGGTAACCTGATGGGCAAGCGTGTGGACTTTTCCGCGCGTACTGTCATCACCGGCGATCCTAATCTAGAGCTGGATGAAGTGGGAGTTCCTCGAAGCATTGCCATGAATTTGACCTATCCCGAGCGAGGTGCGTTCTTAGTAATTGTTCTGGGCCTTTCGAACTTATAGTGTTAATGTAGTGACGCCCTATAACATCGCATACCTTCAAGAGCTGGTGCGCAACGGCCCGACTACATACCCTGGTGCACGATACGTCGTGCGAGATACTGGCGAACGTATTGACCTGCGCTATAATAAACGTGCAGACGCATTCTTGCAATACGGCTGGATTGTAGAGCGGCATCTAAAGGATGGAGAGTGAGTTCGATGAACAAGGGATGCGCGCCATTTTTCATACTGATATCCGTTTCAGCTTCGTGCTGTTCAACCGGCAACCTAGTTTGCACAAGATGAGTATGATGAGCCACCGGGTGAGACTGATGCCCTACTCTAGTGAGTACAGGCATCTTCTGCGTGCTTTCCGAGAAATTAATGTGTATAGCCTTCCGACTGAATCTGTCCGTGACACCTCCATATAATGCCGATTTCGACGGCGATGAAATGAACATGCAGTAAGTCACTTATATGTCATGTGCGATACGATATTCACCCCCCCCCCCCCCCCCCCCAGCATTCCACAGAGTGAAGAAACGCGTGCCGAATTGTCTCAGATAGCATGGGTTCCCCGTCAGGTAACGGTATCTTCTCTCATTTATGCATGTTCTATCTAACCGGGGCGCATAGATCATCTCGCCACAAGCCAATAAGCCTGTCATGGGCATTGTGCAGGATACGCTTTGTGGAATTCGCAAGTTCACGCTGCGAGATACATTCCTGGACTGGAACCATGTTCAGAATATCTTGTTGTGGGTCCCCAGCTGGGACGGCAACGTGCCAATACCCGCTATTATCAAGCCAAAACCCCTGTGGTCTGGAAAGCAGATTCTTAGCATGGTGATCCCCCGCGGTATCAACATCCACCGAGCGCCAGATCCAAAGTCCTCGAACCCCATCTTCGATGACGGCATGTTAATTGAGAATGGCGAGATCATCTTTGGCGTTGTCGAGAAGAAGACTGTGGGCGCTTCGCAAGGTGGTCTGGTGCACGTCGTCTTCCGCGAGAAGGGTCCTGAAGCTACTCGTGACCTCTTTACGGGCATCCAGATGGTCGTAAACTTCTGGTTGTTCCACAACGGATTCAGTATCGGTATCGGTGACACCATTGCTGGTCCCATGGTCATGAAATACATCACGCAGCGCATCAGCGAGACGAAGCAGTCGGTCGCGGAGATCATCGAGGATGCATATCACGACCGGTTGAAGACACTGCCTGGTATGACCATCCGAGAGTCATTCGAGAGCAAGGTAGAGCGCGAGCTCAACCGCGCTCGTGATGACTCTGGTCAGTACGCGCAGAAGAACCTGAAGGATGATAACAACGTGAAACAGATGGTCACGGCTGGTTCCAAAGGTTCATACATCAACATCTCGCAAATGTCTGTCTGTGTCGGGCAGCAGAGTGTTGAGGGTCGTCGTATCCCGTTCGGTTTCCGTCACCGTACTCTTCCCCATTTCGCCAAGGACGACTTCAGTCCGGAAGCGCGTGGCTTCGTCGAGAACTCATATTTGAGAGGGTTGACGCCGCAAGAATTTTTCTTCCATGCTATGGCTGGAAGAGAAGGTCTCATTGATACCGCCGTCAAGACGGCAGAGACCGGGTATATCCAGCGTCGTCTTGTCAAGGCATTGGAGGACGTCATGGTTCACTATGACGGCACGGTACGCAACTCAGCTCGGGGATCTCATTCAGTTCGTGTACGGCGAAGACGGTATGGACGGAGCGTTCATCGAACGTCAGAAGATCGAGACGTTTGGCCTCGACAATGAAGCGTTTGAGCACAACTATCGCGTTGATGTCACGGACGGCAAGAATGGCTTCCTGCCCAATACCCTGCAGATCGGCGTGGATGACAGCTCTATGGAGCTGCAGATGAAGTTGGACGAAGAGTATAACGAGCTTCTGAACGACCGACGTCTTCTACGGGAATTCATCTTCCCTCAGGCAGACGGCCTTACTCCTCATTATCTGCCTGTCAACCTTCACCGTATCATTCAGAACGCCAGCCAAATCTTCCACATCGACAAGCGGAAACCAAGCGATCTGGAGCCAGCCTACATTGTTGAAGCCGTGCAGCAGCTCAACAGCCGCTTGGCTGTCGTCGTTGGTGATGATCCGCTGACGAGGGAAGTCCAAGCCAACTCATCCCTGACGTTCCGCATGCATATCCGTGCCACCATGGCCGCGCGCCGCGTACTCGAACAATTCCATCTTACCAGGGAGGCGTTTGATTGGGTCCTTGGTGAAGTAGAAGCCAAGTTCAACCAGTCGTTGGTGAACCCAGGAGAGATGTGCGGCACGCTTGCTGCTCAGTCGATTGGTGAACCAGCTACGCAGATGACGCTCAATACGTTCCATTATGCCGGTGTCTCCAGTAAGAACGTGACACTGGGTGTCCCGCGTCTGAAGGAGATTATCAACGTCGCCACCAAAATCAAAACGCCTTCTCTCTCTGTGTACCTCGAGCCTGACATTGCCGAAGAGGGTCAGGGTCTGCTTGCTAAGAACGTTCAGCAAGAGCTCGCATATACTTCATTGCGTACCGTGACTGCAGCCGTGGAGATCTGGTATGACCCAGACCCAAGCTCCACTATCATCGAGGAAGGACTCCGTCTTCGTAGAGTCGTTCTTTGCCATCCCCGACGAGGAGATTGAGTCCAAGCTGCATCTGCAGTCGCCGTGGCTCCTTCGTCTCGAGCTCGACCGTCCCAAGATGATTGATCGCAAGCTCACAATGGCTTACGTCGCCGGTCGCATCGCAGAGAGCTTCAAGACTGATCTCTTCGTCATCTGGAGCGAAGATAACTCGGAGAAGCTAATCATCCGTTGTCGTGTACTCGGCGGTGGTGACAAAGATGATGATGGTCTGGGAACAGTCGAAGAAGACATCTTCTTGCGCCAGCTTGAAAACACCATGTTGAATTCCGTTAGCTTGCGCGGTGTTCCTGGCATCCAGAGAGTCTTTTTGCAGCAGCATGACAAGGTGTATGTCGACAAGACTGGCGCTATCAAGGCAAAGAAGGAGTGGGTGTTGGAGACGGACGGTATCAACCTGAAGACTGTCATGTGTATCGATGACGTCGACTTCACTCGTACGTATTCGAATAGCTGCGTCGAGGTCTTCAATGTGCTGGGCATCGAAGCAGCCCGCGCTGCCATTATGAGGGAGTTACGGGGAGTCATCGAATTCGACGGTTCCTACGTCAACTATCGCCATCTCGCTCTCCTTTGCGACCTCATGACTCACCGAGGCTCGCTGATGGCAATTACCCGTCACGGCATCAATCGCGCTGACACTGGGGCTCTCATGCGCTGTTCATTCGAGGAGACGGTAGAAATTCTCATGGAGGCAGCTGCGGTCGGCGAGAAGGATGACTGTCATGGCATCGCCGAGAACGTCATGTTCGGCCAGCTAGCACCCATGGGTACTGGCGCCTTTGATGTGGCTCTTGACATTGACATGCTGAAGGACGCTATCGTTGATCACCGCCTGCCAGTCCAAAACATGCTAGCTGCACAGGCCGATGGTGGCATGACACCAGGACAAGTGGCAATGACCCCATACGACACCAACTCCCCTGCGTGGTCAGAAGGGAATTTCAAAGGGGAATCAGCCGCCTTTTCTCCTCTCGCTGTCAATGGCGGCGAAGATCCCGCAAACTTTTCCTTCCTTGGGTATGGGCAGAGTCCTCTTGGCGCTGGAGGCATGTCGCCTGCGGGACCTGGGTACAGCCCCAGCTCTCCCAATGCATACTCGCCGACATCGCCATATGTTCCCCAATCACCGTTCGGTGGAGCGACATCACCTTTTGGAACATCCCCATATGCTACTTCTCCATTCTACGACCGTGGCAGAGGACCAACCTCGCCGACGTATTCACCGACATCTCCTGCACTCAATCTCACGTCACCAGGGTATTCGCCAACGAGCCCACGCTATTCTCCCACTTCTCCGTCGTTCTCTCCCACCTCGCCACGCTACAGTCCACAATCTCCGTCATTCTCGCCCACGTCACCGCGGTACTCTCCCACCAGTCCCTCGTTCAGTCCTGCTTCTCCACGTTGTAAGTTTATCTCTCGTATCTCAAGCTAGTTCCTTAACTGATGTTTTTCTTTCTCAGACTCACCAAGTAAGCACGGAAGCTATTCACGTATGATTCGTACTGATGATCCATTGTACCGCTCTATTCACACTTACAGCCTGTGAGTCTTTATCTTCACACCAACAACTGTATACTAATTCCTACTCCAGCACCTGCTCAAATGTCACCATCCTCACCCAAATATTCTCCCACTTCACCAGTATCCCCCTCATCTCCAAAATACTGTAAGTCGCCCATCTTCACAAAATACAAGCTGCTCACACCTCTTAGCTCCCACATCCCCCACCTACTCCCCAGCTTGTGAGTACTCCCACTTATCGCATTTCCACACCCACTAACCTCTTCCCACCTTACAGCACCCGCATATTGTAAGACTCTTTCCCTAGTTACTAAGCCATCGCTAACCTCTTTTCAGCCCCTGCTTCTCCCGCTTATAGTCCGACATCACCCCAGTGGTCGCCCTCGAGTCCAGCGCAGAACGGGCGTAGTCACTCGTACAGCACCTCGCCGTCTTGGGAGTAAGCACCACCGCTTCGTGTTTATAAGCAGGTTGGGTTATGTTTTGTTCGTCGTCTTCGTTGGCGTAATTATCTAGCACTTTTTTCCTGTCAAGCACTCCATGTAGATTAAGCACAATTTTTACTATACAACGCTAGATATGCCTTATTTACGATGCGTCCGTCAAAGTTCTTGAGTTACAGGTGGGCATGATAACACATTCATTTGAAGTCGAACTTTGCGGTATGTATTCTAAACATGAGTTGCATATAGGTCAGCATAAGTAAACCTGCAGTCGCTCTCGCCCGCTCGCTCAACACATTGTTAAAAAAAATCAGCCGTCAAACGCACTCAACGCAGCGTCCAAGATATCAAATGTACGTACGAGCAGAGCTATTTGCAAAAGAGTGGGAGTGTGAGGGAGGGGGGCAACGCCCGGCGCGCATAATATTACACGTGAGGGTATATGTTGTCAGAAGAGAAAAAATGAAAAATGAGAAATGAAAGATGAGAATGAGAAGAGGGTAAAACACGTTGGGATAAATGGATATCTGAATCCGACAGCTTTAATGAGGTAAACTGTGCAGCGCAGCCGCTTGTAAAGATGCGAGTGCATGAGCAATGAGTATGCTGGGGTTTTTTTTAGATGGATAGGTTGGTTGTGTGTACGAAACGAAACAACGAGAAAGAGCCGAGGAACTTTAGAGATAGAAAAAGTGGGGTAGGGCAGTCGACAATCGAAAGAACAAGCACTACCACGCGCCACTTCAGCCAAGCCTGGTATCTCAGATGAAAAATTGGGTACTACATCACCAATCAGCACAAAATCCCGCAAAGAAACGAAAAGACGCACTGCATTCGACTACAAGCATGCACCTCCATCTCCTCCATCTTATACGAATTAAGCTCCTCCTTAATGCGTTGCGCCAACGCAGGCGTCAATCGGCTCCACGTCGCAGGCTCGCTGCGACGATCATAAACAGTCGATGAAAACGTATCATAAACCGACAAATTATTTGCAAACACGAGCCTTTTGGCAGGCGTCGTTGCTGAGCGGTGAGTCAGCGTCGGGGGGTTGGTAGGGATTGTTGAAAGGGCTGGGGCGCTGGAGTTGCTGAGCGTGAATATGCCCTTTTCTTTCTCTTTTTGATTTTGATTTTCTTTGTCTGGTGAAACGTCAGATGGGTTGAGAGGAGACGGGAATGAGGTACCTCCAGTGGATGAATGGGAAGGGTGTCGATGAAGCCCATCTATATGGTCTGGATCAGGAGAGGGCATCCTTGCGAGAGGACCCAGCTCCGAACCTTGCCCCGGATGCGAATTATCCGAATTCGAGCGTACGCGGCTAAAAGCAGGGTTGACCACGCTTTCCCCATTATACACCTCTTGCGTGTAGTTATCAGCTCCTACCACCAAAAGTCAGTCAGCGCAAACAGCAGCCTGGACACACGCACCTTTCAAGATGCCCTTTGCAGGCGTCCGATGGCGCTCAACGCTCCGCCTGATATTAGTCGCCCAAGCGACGACTTCCTCGTCTTCACCCTGGTGGTCAGCACTCATTCCTACACGAATAGTAACGTCCTCTTCCCCATCCTCATCCCAGACTTCATCGTCGTCCCAGCCGTCCGATATGAAGTTCTGTCCAGGCTGGGGTACATAAGCATGTCCATCGTCACTCTCCTCATCCTCTTCAACCACCACACGCGTTCCATCCTCAGCGACCCTCGCACTCGATTCTCCAGCGCGCGTAGCAGTGTTCTTCTCCCACGCAGCAGGGACATGGGTCCCATTAACTTGTGCAGGCTGCTGCTCCGCACGCGCCTCCACACGCACCTTAGCAGCAGCAGCAGCCTCTGCATTACTCTTGAGGGTATGCTGCCTAGCAAGCTTTGCAGCTGGACTCAACCCGCTCATCTCCGGAGCACTCCATTCCCCCCGATCAAGCTCAGCGACGGCATGAGAGACGCTAGGAGCCACGACTTCTCCTTTTGCATCCTTTTTCTTCTTCTTCTTTCCCCCGCTGTCCTCGGCTCCCTCGTTGTTCTTGTTCTTGTCCTTGAAGAGGGAGGTGATACCTGCGAGGCTGTTTCGCCTTGCTAGTTTTCCGATGGATCCGATCTTGCGGATCACGACGGATGCGGAGGACATGGTCGAGCTCAGAGAAATATTATCGGTGCTCGCGTTCAAACGGCTATTGAACAAACTGGCAGCACGCCCTTTTTTCTTAGTTTGAACCGTGGCGGTGCTAACGGCGTCTGCATCTGGGGGTGTGGTTGTGGGAGGGTCTTTGCTTGTGCTGCCACCTGCAACTGGGGTTTCTTCTTCTTCTTGAAGGGCTTGAGCGGCGTTTAGACTGAGGGCGCGACGGAGTCTGCCTTTGATGCCGCCTGTTTTTGCACCTATGGAAGTGCCTTCGAGGATGGCGGCTAGGTCAGAGTCATCACGTGACATACGCTTTTCCGCAGCCGTATATGTGCCTTGACTAAGTGGGGAAGGACGGACTGGGCGAGCATGGGAAGAGGAAGAAGCGGTTGCTGGGGTTGTTGCTGTAGAAGTAGAACTTCTAGAGGTTGCGGTTGAGGCGGAGGGACGGGGTGTGGATGAATTAGTGGAAGATGAGGAAGTGGTACGGTGGTGTGGATGTGGGGTTGGTCTACTGCCAGTACTAGATGAACCGCTTCCTGTACGAGCGCGGGGTGTTTCTATTGGAGGGGGGTTCCTTGAGCGGGATTGCTGACCCTGAATGCTTGTTGTACGTTGGCGAGAGGTAGCGGCTCCGTGAGATGATGAAGAATTAACGGAAGTGGTAGAAGCGGAAGCTTCACCGCGTGCGTATGGTGGTTGAGTACGCCATTCTGGATGATCCTGGGAGCGAGTATTATTTGGGCGGCGATAGGGATGAAAGCCGCTGTATTGAGCGGCATCTGATGAAAGGGAGCGCTGCGCCTGTTGGGGAGCCGGATAGTGAGAATGAGGAGGGGGTGTTCCACTTGGAAATGGGGAGAATAATTGGGAGGGGTTAAAGTATTCTGGTGGTTGAGTTGTTGTACGTTGAGCGTGAATCTGTTGTTGTTGTTGAGAATACATCATTTGCTGGTATGCCCACTGAGCTAGTTGTGCGTTAGCTTGTGGGTCGAAATAAGGGTTTTGAGTTGTTGTTGGGTAATTGATTTGTTGTTGATTTTGTTGATAGTAAGAAGGGTAAAAGGGTTGAGCTTGAGGAGATGGAGTCCAAGAGCCATGAGGCTGTTGCTGAACTGGGTATGGATAAGGTTGAGTGGGTATGTTAGGTTGTGAATCGTTTGAAGGTGAAGAACGTTGTCTTGGTATTGAATTATCCATGCTTGTTGTAAGATCGCGAGGTGGCTGCCAATCTTGTGGTGCGAGAACGGCCATGGACAAACAACTAAGTTAACTTGAGTCAGATAGATGGATAACCTTTGATTTAAACTTACAGTTGGTCAGTAATCGCTCTAAGAATCGAAAAAAAATCCCCAAGGACGACGGCAAGGACGACGACGACGGACAACGAATACCGCGACGACCAACAAACAGCTCAAATAACCAAATATAACAAAACAATGATTATAATGTTGCTCGGTACTCGGTTCTCACTCCAACGCCAGCGACCATCCGCGTGTAACCCAAATTCCCACGTTTGCTATACTTTGCCGCGCTAATCTCATGTCTGTCGCGGTTCTTCGGCGCTAAACCCTCTTGTCATAACACCGCTTGTCGACTCAATCTTGGTGCCTACCGCCTACGAGCACGATCCCAGGCGGTAACCTCGACGTATGCCACTTTCCTTCTCACAACTTATAATTATAATCCAAACTACCGAACATCCCTGGTTCTTGCTGGGCTATTCAATTACGCTAGACACTCCGGACGTCGACCCTAGCCGTTTTTTGTGCACTCGTGGCACTTGCCTAAGTTATAAGTTACATCCAGGGCCTTTCTAACGGCTCCAAGCGTTTCATATCGCTTTAGAATGACATCTAGCCCTCTCCATTGTTCAAGCTAGTACTATACGGACACGGGCATAAAACCCTCGCCGCTAACTCCTAAGTTATCCTTTAGCTTCTTAACGCTCAGCCCTGGCCATTACGTACGCGGCTGCTTGTCACCACCATGCCTGTCCAACTTGCGGTGTTCGAATCCCCAACCCCCTCTTCTTAGTTCCATCAAACATCGTCCCTCATGGACAAACTCACTCACACAGAGCGGATGTCCCATTTGGACAGTGTTTCGCACGTTCGAATTGGCCCTCCGCTCTGCATCTCACTGCCATGTGTGCAGCAATAGCAGTGTCATTAGTTCAGGTTCCTGTCCCGACTTTCGTCGGACTATAGACCATCAAGTTTAGTCCGGCGCAGTGCTGGGCTGCCATAGCGATGGCTCTCGTTGCTTCACTATGTAGAACACACGGTCCAATATTTTCTCGCAGGTAAGCGCCTGTGTATCCACTCAACATTCGTGCATGCACGCAATAACAATTATTTGTCTGAACTTGTCTCACTAGCGCATCCTCCCTCGCCGTGCATGGTGTAATCGACACTACTGATCTAATCAATAGGCAGCTATTACTGGCCGGAGCCGCACACGTATCGACCAGTCACACAACAACACCCCCCCTCTATTGAAATCTAATCTCGTCGCAGAGGACCCCATAAACACCTCCAAACCGAAGAAGCATCTCACCAGATGAAGAGAAATCAAATTTCAAAGCCGTCGATGACAGCTTCCATAAAACGCGTGCCACGACAGTACCAGTCTTTACCCCATCAAAAGGACAAATTCATTTCTCTTCTCTGGGGATTTCACTCGGTTCTCTCCGCGCGTCAGCCGATGAATACTAGCGATCATTATTAATTGAGTCCTCCGCTCACCGCATCAGGCCACGACGGTTAACCCATATGCCTCTCGGGGGATCGAATCATATTCACTCCTATACACACAAAGCTCGAAGAGAAATACGCCCAATAGCCTCGTTCCTTAAAGTCCTACGCAGTTATTGCGATCCCCGCCTGTTGTGATGCCAGTCAGCTTGAGCGCTCATCGCAAGGGGCGGAAGTATCATCTGGAGATGAAGCTTCGAAGCTTTTTGTTGCGTATTGGAAGAGGCATAGAGGTGGGGATCTTCCTGCTTTATTCTGTACGTACAACAATAACGTGGAGCACGACCGTTATTATTCACGCCTTCAGGATTTAATATCTCATCACATAACTGGAGAGCGACGACTTTGCCAGTGCCATAAAGCCAAAGTGCAAAACAAAAGTGGGTTTAAATTGGGTTTAAGTAAGTTTTGACGCCGTCGATGCAACATAAAACATAACTGTTTCGTAACGCATTAGTACTTACTTTATCGATGAAATCTAGGCCCCCTTCCGTTGCTCAAGCTACTTAGTACTGCATCGGGCATTCGGGCACGGGTATAAAATCCTCGCCGCTAGCTTAGGTCTAGAAGTTTATTGATCTTTAGCTTCTTCGAATTCGGCGCTCATCATGATAATCAGACTCCTTGCGGTTATCATCGATGGCGCCATTACGTACACGGATTTTACCCCCACATGTCCGACTTGCGGCCTTCGAATCATCAACACCGTCCTTCTACTGCTATCCCCACCCTCACACACCGGCGGTTTGGGAGTTTTTCGCTATGCAAGATTTGTTTCAAAATGTTATTGATGAATTTGGCATTTTCACTATACATTTTGACATGATAAAAATAAGAAATTCAGATGAGTGGCAAAATCCTGGGTGAAATTGTACATTTTATGCACCATTTTGACACTGTAAAAGAAAGTCATTTAACCAACAGCAAGATTTGAAGAAAAATCTTCAATCATTATAATTCAAATCTTGCATGGGGTGAAATGTGAGGAAATTTGAAGTCTTTGTGAGTTGCTAGGATGCAGTCTGACACTTCAAAAACAGAAACACAAAATGATATTGCAGCTACTATTGTTCTACAAGAGTATTGTGTCTATGACTGAGGCAGATATAGTTCTGAGCAGTTTGGGCAAGGGTGTGCAGCACCTCCCAGTCCCGAGCTGTGTATCCTGCAGGAAAAAGGTGAGCTGCAAGGGTGGGAGGGAAAAGGAAACCATTATGAATCACCTGAGGCAGGGAATGTGTGCAGTCTGGGCCACTGAAGGGGAAGAGCAGTGAGCAAGATTGAGTGTTTTGAATGAGATTTTGCATGTTTGAAAGGGAGCAGTGGGTGGTGGAAAAGAAGGAGGGAAGATAACATTGTTGAGGACAACTGATATGAGAGGAGGTGTTGTCACAGTATGAAGGCAAAAGGTTCGTACTGCTTCTGACACTTGCGCAAAGACCTAACTCTAGTTCTCTGCTCATGCCTTGTTATGTAATAGAGTATCAATCTTTGCAAGTCACTAGGATATAGTCTGACACTTCAAAAAACGGAAACACAAAATGATATTGCCACTACTATTGTTCTACAAGAGTATTGTGTTTATGACTGAGGCAGATATAGTTCTGAGCAGTTTGGGCAAAGGTGCGCAGCACCTCCTGGTCCTGAGCTGTATATCCTGCAGGAAAAAGGTGAGCTGCAATTCCCATAACTGTAGGAGTCTGACAATGCATCAAGTGAACTGAGAACACCTGCAGCACTAGGAGGAGGATGAGTACTCATGAGGAATGTCTGTTCATTGAACACAAGGCATTGTGTGGCACAGAAATTCATCTTGAATTGCAGGAGTTGCTTGCAGGTATGGTGCAAGAATCTGAGTGTGCTCTCTAAGATAACTTTGGAAGGCATCACCAGCCCATTGTGCCATGGTTTTTATGACATTGAATGGCACATTGCGAAGAAGGTATTCTAGTATTGCGCCAATTCTTATGGTGTGACCCTGGAGGGGGTTCAGACCAGTGCTTTTGGCTGTAACTGCCAGCTGTGTGATGAATTTTGACTTTGTCAAGGGACAGTGAGTGTTGCTGAATTTGTATGAAAATAATGTGATGCCAGGGAGGGGATTGTTAATGCGAAAATGATTGGCTAAAGCTGCCTCTGGATCCATAGGGCCATCCTGTCTTGCCCAGAAGATGTCTTCTCCAGCCTGAGATGTCTTTGTGCGAGGTAGCCAAAAGACTGTGGTAGTGAGACCACTGCAATCCATCTCCTTATGAATGTTGGAACACTTGATGTGAATGGAAGGATCAAAGGTTGTTAGGCTTTGAACTGTAAATTCCCCCACCTGGGCAATGGAGTAGAAAGTGGTTGTAAGGCAACTTCCTACTGCAGCATCGAGAGGAACATCAGGGTTCAGTTTTTGCAAGATACTGGTGATGAAGGCCACTGTGTATGGTGGTTGTTTCTTCTGTTTTGACAATGATGGTGTGAGGTTCTTCATGGCTTCCAGCATAGCATCTATCTGATCATTGAGTAAGGACCAGGATTTTCTGTGCATGATGTGCCAAGCATGGATGCTGTGGACATAACATGACATCGTCTTTCCTGAATATGAACCCGCTAAGTCTGATATGAAAGCTGAAATAAGTTCAGTAGATGCAGGAGCACTGTCACATACCCGATTCAGCCACTTCCAACACCACTCATAGACGTCCCTACTATTGGTCCGACCTCCTGCTACCCTGTCCGCCCCATCCCTCCTTCTCCGACAATGCACGAAGTGCATCTCAGCAGGACTAGCCCTGCTACCTCTGCCCGACTCCGCTCCGCTCCTCCGACACTACCCCCATTTCCTCCAACACCATACCCCTACCCTCCGACCCTATCTGGAGCTCCGCTCCTCCACTCCATCGGTCCGACCAATCCTACTCCTACTCCCTCCACCATCTCCGCTTTTCTGACCCACTCAGTTCCTTCAGTTCCTCTCATGTTGTTCCATCTGATGATTGGTCCACCCGACCGCCTCACCGGTCCACTCCTAGACTAGGAACCACTCAACTGGTCCTATCTCCTTTTAGTATCATAGTTCCTCCTTTTGGATCACCGGTAATTGCTATACCCGAGTGATTATTGATCCATCGTGTACATACTATTCTCCGAGGCCCTTTCTCGTATGTCTCAGTCATCTTTCTAATAATTCTGTACACTCAGCACATAGCCTTTTGCTATGCTAGGCTACCTACTTAGAGTATATAAACATGTGTACAATTGTCTGTAGATCTTCAGTCTGAATATTACCTTTTCTAAGCCCTGCTCTCTTGTCCTTGTTCTTGGGCAAACCTCTTGACAACTCCTGCTTGCCGGCCTAGGGGATTGACTCCCTAGGTCAGCCGCCTCCTCCGCTCGTCCGACTTCCCACGCCTCCGCCACCTTTCCCGCGTGTCGGACTTGTGACTAGTACTCTCGTACCTCTGTCCTCTGTGTTCCCATTCTGCTTTGGACTTCGTCCAATGTGGGTACAACAAGTGCAGCAGCGAGAATCCGATCTACTACACAGTTGGGTCTTTGCTGCTTGCTGCCTCACTTGAGAACAAGTACATTTGACCCTAAAGGGGATTGCTACTGGGGAGTACTAGTCTCTGTCTAAATGACCCTAATCAACCCTACCACAGG